TTGTTTAGTAGGTGAGTCCCATATGCTGGGTAAAGTTTCTTTCTGGCCTTTGGCATTTAAGAAGAACTTCTCTTCTTCATGTTGATGGAGCGCTGGCATTTTTGAAGCAGTTATAAACGCAACAATGGAAATCTAAAGCAGAAATGTAAAAAAAATTACATTTTACTGATTTTTCTTTATTTATGTTAGACTGTATCATCTGCTTTTCTCTTAGTTGAATATTCACTCAGTTTTTAGTTGCTTAACAACGGTCTAGAGGTGGCTCCAAAATTAAATAGTGGGTTCCCTAACTAGTCCCTTACTATGAATGGATGACTGTCCTTTTTTCTGTCAGTAAGGTGCTGGTGCCTTGGGAGGCTCTGTCTCTTCCTAGTCATCATTCCCCAGGCCTCCATCATCCCAGCTAAAATAGGGATCAGTCACTATAGGAAGACTGGTCTACTCTTAGATGCCTTAAAACCCTGATCCTTAGTATGTGTACACGCATAGACACACACACACACACACACACACACACACACACACACACACACACAGTAAGGTCATATCCCTGCTTGGAATCTCCATGTGACGGGACAAATTCATTTTGCACTGGAACGTATGGGGTGAGACAGACGTCCCCCATCCAGGACCAGACAGACCCAAGATATAAAAGGAAGATTCCTCAGACTACCAGGTAGGGAAGAACAATGTTTAAGAATATGTTTTTGACACTTAACTCGAATTTGAATTCAGAATACAGCACTTTGTGAAGTATCTAACTTACAGGCTCCCTTATGCACTTGGGAGCTAAGCTTTGGAAATAACCATTCTTTTTAACATTGTTTGTATTGGCACACTTTCTGCTTTCAAAACAATCTATAAATTTTTGGAATGGTACTCATTTGCAATTTAATGGCCAATTTTAATATCCTACTGGGTACACACTGAGAGTGAACACCTTTTGATTAGTGGGAGCATAGAGGCAGTATCCAGAACAGTGGTGAAGAGTTCCTACTATGCACAGTAGTGTTTAGATTCATTTCTAAATTTAATTTCCTACTAAAAGCCGGCAGTGCTCCAAAGAGGCTGAGTGATTCAGATCTGGGGCAGGAAATGTAGAATGGTGGAACAGCATATCATCCTAGGAAGTGAAGACAGTACCAAAGATTATAAGGGCTGTGCCAAAAGGACAAAGCAGTCAACTGACGGGGCCCTCACTGGCCTATGATGTGAGGATCTGATCATCTTCCTACTTCCCTCGACCAAAAAAAAAATTATTGCAATGAATCAAACCATGAAAAATACTCTAAATCATAAATTCACAATGATACCAAAACCAAAAACTGGGTAAGATGCCAGGGAACCATCTCAGTATTTCAAAAATTTGTCTTTTAATTTGTGTTTTCTATGTATTAAAGATATTTCAGGGTAAACGAATAGCTGAGGATAAGATTTCTTTCATTATAAAATTCTAGGTAATAAATGAAGGATACAATGAGAATGTTTCACTTTGCAACCCACAATGAAATAAAGCATTTAGGCAATGATCCTGAATGACTACTGAAACCATTAGGCTGATGACAAACTTTATAAACTGGTGGGTCTGGCTGGCAACACTTGAACCCGCAGGTCCATCTTAACACCAGAGGCAACTGGCCTTTACATGACTCCTGATGGATGAGACATGAAAGAATCGAAGAAGCATCCCTCATGATTTTTTTCTTGATTAAAAAAAAGCATCAAGTATGTATCTGATCAAGTCTCTAGATCCTAACTACCAGTTTATGGGAAATTAGAGTCAGAGGGCGATGTTAAAAGGCATTAAGGGGATGCATTATGGGAAATTCGAGTCAGAGTGCGATGTTAAAAGGCATTAAGGGGATGCATTATGGGAAATTCGAGTCAGAGGGCGATGTTAAAAGGCATTAAGGGGATGCATTCAGAGAAATCCAAATTGTGAGAAGTTCTACAGGAGGAATGATCACATTAAAGAAAAAAGGGGAGAAGAAACTGTTCACAGATTAAGAGACTCAAGACATCAACAAAGTACAATGCGTGGCACTTGTTTGGATCCTGATTGGAACAAACTGAGACATATATGAGACAAGTGAGGGGCTGTGAACTCAGGAGGAATTCGAAATCACAGAATAAACTCCAATCTGTGACCACTTTATTGCGGTATTTTTAAGAGACCTTATCTGTTAGAAATAAATGCTGAGGATTGAAAGATAAAATGTCTTCAAGTTGTTTTAAAATAAGTCAGAAAGGAGCTGAGACTGTGATAAAATAAGAATGGAGAGTGGATACAGATGAAGACAAGATGAGGTTTTGAAAAATTATTTATTTATTTTTTTTTTTGAGACGGAGTTTCGCTCTTGTTACCCAGGCTGGAGTGCAATGGCGCAATCTCGGCTCACCGCAACCTCCGCCCCCTGGGTTCAGGCAATTCTCCTGCCTCAGCCTCCTGAGTAGCTGGGATTACAGGCACGCGCCACCGTGCCCAGCTAACTTTTTGTAATTTTTAGTAGAGACGGGGTTTCACCATGTTGACCAGGATGGTCTCCATCTGTTGACCTCGTGATCCACCCGCCTCGGCCTCCCAAAGTGCTGGGATTACAGCCCGGCCATGAAAAATTATTTTTTAAATGATTTCTTGCTCCGGCATTTGAAAAATGTAAGTTCTACTAATTGTGTGACATTTGAGTACATGAAGCTCATTTCTCCAATCTGTTTCCTCCCCAGTAAAATCACGCCAATGATAACATACATGTCATAGCCTTGTTTTTACAGATCTGAGATAATTCCTATTAAACCAAGTGCGACACTCAACATACAGTAAGTACTACACTCAATAAATGGTAGCTCTTATCACTTCAAGCTGGTGGGAACAAATACTGTCAGTACGATCTCATAAAATCTGTGCAGAAGACCCAAAGTAAATCTCTGCAGCTTCGATCTAAGACTGTGAAACCACCACTTCCCGCCGGGCACCCCGCCAAAACAAACAAACAAACAAACAAACAAACCTGGTTTGCTCAAAAACTTCAAAAAACAAAGAAACCCCAAACCCTGAAATCTCCACTTGTCAGGGCAAGAGAGGACTCCTCTCTCACCCAGATACTATCAACAAAGTAGTAAGGATGCACTACATTTTATCTAAACTGTAAATTGACACATCCTCCGAAAAGATGGCAGAGTGGCCGTCCTGGCAGTGCTGTCTAGGTGGCTAATCTGAATGTCAAGGAAGCTGAAATCCTCTCCACTTTTACTAACTAGATGGCAGGCTCATTCCGAAATATGTGGCAGAGAGTTCACTTGGCCCATTTTCTGCCACGTAACAATCAGCAAGGGCTTGGGACGTTGTTTTTGTGTTTCGAGAGCAATGGCAAAGAAAATCGAGTTTGAATTCTATTGCTCTGCCTTGTTTAGGGACAGTATATTGAGGGTGCTTAATTCTGGAACACAATGCTTCCCCCAATCCCCGCCGACATGGTAATATCAGGAGGCCTGAGGCCTGTCTCTCTCGCTCACCCGTGGGTCTCATCGAGCCACGGATTTATTCCCATCTGTAAAGGATGGCTGTCATCAGGGCACCGTCACCCCTATTTGCTGAACCCCATCAGCAAAGGGGGCAGGCCAGGGAGCGCACCCCTTCTGGGGACTGGAGTCCTCCCCGGGTAGGGCAGAACTGCAGCGGCTGCAGGTCCCGGAGGGAGTCTGGGAGAGGTCGAGGCCGACAGAGCGGGCGAACAAGGGGCGCGGGAAGCGGCAACGATGCCGGGCTGAGTGGGGGCGCCCCAGTGTGGAAACTCTTACAAATCTCTGGGCACACAAAGAGATAAGGTGCCGAGCGAAAATTAAAGAACCGAAGAAAAAGGGGAGTGAAATTCCAAGAAAGGAAACTCAGGTCAGGAATTCGGGGGAAGCTAGGGGAAAGAAAGACAAGTCAGCGAATGGGTGGCGCGGAGGAGGGGACGCCGGAGGAGCCGCAGTCTCCAGGAAAGCGCTGAGCCCCGGCCCGCGCCGGTCCCCAGCCTCTGTTCTCACCAGTACGAGGGCTGCGGCCACAAGCGCCGCACCGAGCACCGCCAGCTGCAGCAGGAGCGGAGCCATCCTCCATGCCGGGGCCGCCGGCCCTATCCGGCAGCTACACACACGCGGAAGCGCGACCCGGCCCCGCAGCCAGAGAGGCCTCGCCCGCCGGCCGCAGCACCCCCGCGTGGCGAGGCGGAGAACCTGCCGCTCTCGAGCGCTCGGCGCCCAGGCGGTGGAGAGACGCGCTAGGTTCCTTAGCACCGCGCCAGGTTAAGCAAGTGTGCAAGATGCCTACTTAATTTGAATTTCAGATTAAAAAAGAAAACTAATCTTTTTTTTTTTTTTTTAACAACCTTATCAAGATATTTACATACTACACAACTCGTCCAGTTAAAGGCTTCTGGTCTATTACATTAGTTTTTATAAATTGTGGTAAAATAAAACAAAAGTTACCATTTTAATCATTTTAACTTTACAATAGTGAGTGGCATTAAATACATTCACAATGCGGTGCAACCATCACCATCTATCTGTAAAGCCTTTCCAGCTCCCTCCAGGTTCTGGTAACAACTAATTGCATGCTCTATTTGGGGCATCCTTATGCTAAAAAAAAAAAAAAAAAAAAATGCTGTTTATCAGACATTCAAATTTAACTTGGTATCCTGTATTTTATCTGGTAACCTCACGGCGGAGAGAGATGGCAGCCTTAAGCACGACACAGTCTACAACACAAGCTGACGGTTAGGAGCCAGCTCCAGGACCTGCAGAGCAGAACGTGGTGCGGATAATGAGAGCAAAAAAAGTTCAGATTTCTCAACGTGCTGGAGCAGGGAGCCTTGACCAGGGAAGAAGCACGGTCAGGGCACAGCGTAAGTCACAGGCGGAAAAAAGACGCAGAAACATTGGAATAACGCGCTATACGCAATGCTTGATTCTTCGCTGGAAACCTATTTTCTCCGAAATATTGGCCTTATTCTGAGTGACAGCACCAGCTTTTTTATAGGACACCTTCTCCTTCTCTAACAGCAGATTCGTCAAATTCGTCCAAGCAAGGAAACCTAGAAGGGCGTCTGGCCAGGACAAAGTCTAAGCCAAGGCGGGCCTTTCGTCGCGTCCCCGCCTTGGCGTTTCCTGTGGCGTGAGCAGCCCGGGCATCCATGTCGAAAGTGCGGTGGCGGAACAGGCGAGCAGGCGAAGAGCGGCGCAGGCGCAGACGCGCGGGCGGGAAGATGGCGGCTGGGTTCAAGTGAGTGTTGGCGGCTGGAGGGCCGAGTTCTATACCCTGGCCGACGACGGCTTCCTTTAACTCTTAGCTGAGATTCTCTCACCTGGAGGCCGACCCTTTTGGAGTGCCATTTCCTTCCTTGTCGAAGCAGGCGACGGGCGGGAGGACCTGGAGGTGGTCGTAGTGAAAAGAAAGGGCTTCTTTCCCCTGGCGAAACGGGAGATGAAAGGACTGTAGAGTTCCGTACCCGCTGCGAGCGCTCATGAGCGTGGTGTGTAGTGAACGTGCAGTCCCAGGAGACATAGATGTAATCTTTTAAAGATTGTGGCCTGGCGCGGTGGCTCACGTCTGTAATCCCAGCACTTTGGAAGGCCGAGGCGGGAGGATCGGAGTTCGAAACTAGCCTGCTCTACATGGTGAATCCCTGTCCCTAATAAAAATATAAAAATTAGCCGGGCGTGGTGGCTGGAGCCTGTAATCCCATCTACTTGGGAGGCTAAGGCAGGAGAATCGCTTGAACCCGAGAGGCGAAGGTGGCAGTGAGCTGGGATCACGCCCCTGCACTCCAGCCTGGGCGACAAGAGTGAGACTCTTGTTTCAAAAAATAAATAAATACGAATACATAAAGATTGGTGCGTCAGAGCCACATACCGCCTGGTTCTCCCTCTCTCGTAATTTATTTCTAAAAGAATCATGCCTCGTTCGGAACGTTTTTGTGTGTGTAGCCTATGGACTTTCTTAAAGTTTTAAAAAAAATGGATAAAATAGGATTCCAAAGGAAACCCATTATGTTGAAATAATTATCTATGAATAGGGCCGGGCGCGGTGGCTCACGCCTGTAATCCCAGCACTTTGGGAGGCCGAGGCGGGTGGATCACGAGGTCAAGAGATCGAGACCATCCTGGTCAACAAGGTGAAACACCGTCTCTACTAAAAATACAAAAATGAGCTGGGCATGGTGGCGCGCGCCTGTAGTCCCAGCTACTCGGGAGGCTGAGGCAGAATTGCTTGAACCCAAGAGGCGGAGGTTGTGGTGAGCCAAGATCGAGCCATTGCACTCCAGCCTGGGTAACAAGAGCGAAACTCTGTCTCAAAAAAAAAAAAAAAAAAATTATGAATATAAACTCCGAAGTCATGATATAGTAGTATATATACTTGCTTTGCTTTAAAATTTACCTTCTTAAACAGGATCTAGTGACGAGTCTAGTAGTACCTCGTGGGATTTCAAAGTAACAGCCTAAACATACAGTACACAAATGAATACATCTGTGGTCTTTGTTAAAGTTGCAGGTACTGCTAATGTTACAATCGTGTATTGCCTCCAGCCATAATTGAAGAATGTGCTAAGTGTCCGTTACAGTGAAAATAAAGATGTACCTTTTTTGTTTCCTGAGTTACCTAGTACGATCTAACTCATGTTCCCGTTTATGAAAATAATCTCTTCATGATCACTAGATCACTCTGAATCCTTGTTTCAGAGCAAGAATGACATGATTTTTCTGACACCTAGATTAATCCGCTTTTAAAGAGCTCACTCAAAGGGCTTTTAGACGCCAATCTTCTTAATCGATTACAGCAGTTAAAATAGCAATTGGATGCGATTGCTACTGCAAGGGTTTTTACTTTCTAGAATTAGATTAAAATTGTGGCAGTTTCTGCTGTATCACCATATTCTAAAGAGCTTTGCCCATTTCTGGATTTATGTTAAGATTCATCATTTATCTCAGCTATATTTTTAACATGTGTTTCAGAACTGTGGAACCTCTGGAGTATTACAGGAGATTTCTAGTGAGTAAAGTTTATGTACATGTTATGCCTTATGTTAACAATGGGCTTCTTTTAAAGATAAATTTCAAGTAATTTAAATAAATCCATTTGAAGTAACATTTAATGTGTTTCCCCTGGTGTGTGTAAAACTTGTGATAGATATGTAAAGTATGTAATAGGTAGAATCTTTTTATATAAACATTATATTTATTTAGAAAGAGAACTGCCGTCCTGATGGAAGAGAACTTGGTGAATTCAGAACTACAACTGTCAACATAGGTAAGGATGTATTTTCCACTTTCAACTGTATGATATTCCCAAGTTTTAGTCTCTGAACCACCTCAACAGTTTTTCAGCCAAATTCTCCCTGTCTAAAGGATTTGATGATTTTTTTTTTGTCAAGAAATTTTTTATCCGTACAAAAGCCCTGTAACTGAATGAAAAATTATTAACACAAATTCAAGGACAAGTGAATAATTATTTAAACACTAATTTTAAATAGTTTATATCATTTAAAATCAATTATTCCAACTTGAAATACATTTTCATAAGCAACTGACAGGTGTAGCAAGGTAATCATACACAGCAAACTAACACACTTAATGATTATGTAGATAATTTTGTAGCTGTTTTCCTTTTATTTACTTTTCATTTTGCTTATCTTTTCAGGTTCAATTAGTACCGCAGACGGTTCTGCTTTAGTGAAGTTGGGAAATACTACAGTAATCTGTGGAGTTAAAGCGGTGGGTATAAATAGGTCCTACTGAGATTTGAATTACTAAATTAGCCTCCTCTATTTATTAGATTATAATTTACACCTATAATTCGGTTGATTTGGCAGTTGGGTGTCAGTATTTAATTTCCCAAGAGTTTTCACTATGAGTGTTAGATAATTATGACCCAAGCTTAATGACAAAATACCAAAAATAGCCAGGCGCAGTGGCAGGCGGCTGTAATCCCAGCTACTTGGGAATGACTAATTGAACATTTGTCAAATGTACCAAAATGAAATAACTTTTAAAATCTTAATCACTCTTAAAAAATTTGGTTATATCATTTGAGAAATTAACAGAGATCTTTGGTGACATCCTTTTAGCCGGTGATGACATGTAATCTGTGTAAATGTGTAGAAAATTAAAATTGTTGAAAAATTTGAGAGAATAATGGCTACTATTTACTGAGTACTTGCTATGTTCCAGACACCTTTTTAGGTGCTTAGGTGCTTTACAGAATTATCTACTTTAATCCTTACAATAATCATTTGTTCTTTCTCTCCACCTCCTGTTTTATAAATGAGGTTCTGTAACCCGTCCAGGTACATAAGATGCATAAGTAAAACTTAAAACATAAATCTGAATCCAAAGCCTGTGCTTCTTTGACTACCCTACACCCTGTTATTTAACCTCAGTTGAGATTCTTCCTTGGTAAACCTAGAGTGATATATAACAGTAAGATTTGAGAACTCCCTCCTTGCCAGGTTTTATGCCGGGGATTTAACAGCTTTATCTCACTTGGCCCTTATCAGTAGTCCCTAGGAGTAGACACTATTTTCTTCCCATTTGACAGATGAGGAGTTTAAGGTTAGAGGTTGAGTAACTTGCCTAAAGTCTCAGCCAGTAAGTGTGGCTCTGAAATTTAAACTGGCTTAGTGATTACAGAGCTTCTGCTTTTTTTTTTTTTTTTTCCCTTGAGACGTAGTCTGGCCCTGTCACCCAGGCTGGATTACAGTGGCACGATCTTGGCTCACTGCAACCTCTGTGTCCCAGATTCAAGTGATTCTCCTGCATCAGCTTCCCAAGTAGCTGGGATTACAGCCGCCTGCCACTGCGCCTGGCTATTTTTGGTATTTTAGTTGAGAGATGGCTATGTTGTTTGCCATGTTGGCCAGGCTGGTCTCAAAACTCCTGACCTCAGGTGATCTGCCTGCCTTGCCTCCCAAAGTGCTAGGATAAAAGGTGTGAGCCACTAGGTCTGGCTGAGCTTTTGCTCTTTACCACTAAAGCAGCAGTTCCTAAATGTGGCTGTATCATCTGGGGAATAAATTCAGATTCTTGGCTACTGGGTGGGGGGCACAAACCCAATTACTATTTTTTAAACAATCTCTAGGTAATCTTGAGCAGCACTGTAATGTAGTCCACTGTACTCTAGTGCCTTGTTACCTTGGAGAGCTATTGTGAGGATCAGCAGCACCAATGCTGAGCTGTCTTCCTAATTTTTTAGTAGCTTCTTTCAATAGGAAACATTTCTTTGCTACTATAGGAATTTGCAGCACCACCAACAGATGCCCCTGATAAAGGATATGTTGGTAAGTTAAATGAGTTTGTAATTTTAATACAAATACTTTTAACACATTTTGATAATTTTAGTTAAGTCCTACTAGTTGAGTTGATGTAAAGAAAATTATTCCTAATATTCAGAAATATTTAGGAATAAAACACATTCCTCAAAAGTTTTGCATGTATGTGTTAGTAAAAGATAGCATAATAGCAGGATATAGAATTTCATACATTTGACCTTGATCAAACTTGCTTTCTCAATTTTTGTTTATACATTCATATGTCACCAAGTAAGAAAATAGAATTTTGGCCGGGTATGGTGACTCATACTTGTAATCCCAGCACTTTGGGAGACAAGGTGGCAGGATCGCTTTAGCCCAGGAGTTTGACCAGCCTGGGCAACAAAGGAGACCCCCATCTCTACAAAAAAAATAAAGTTAGCTGGATGTGCCAGTGCACACCTGTGTCCCAGTTACTTGGGAAGCTGAAACAGGAAGATTGCTTGAGCCTGGGCTGTCAAGGCTACAGTGAACTGTGATCATGTCACTGTATTCCAGCCTGAGTGACAGAGTGAGACCCTGTCTCAAAAGAAAAAAAAAAAGAATGGAATTTTTTTTCGTTAGAGAATTGTCACTACACACTTTTTGTTTCCATAAAGATTCTTTGCTTTATACAACTGCTATTTTTTTTCTTGTCTTGGAACCATCTGTTCTTTATGATAGAAACCAACATTTTTTAAATAAGAAAAACAGAGGAGCTATCTTCAGTTACAGATTGAGGTGTTTTGAAAGATACCAGGAAAACTTTTGTGAAGGATTTAGGAGAAGGCCTAAAATAGATTTTTAAAAAATGCATATGGGGGAAAAAAGAAAAATTTAACTTTCATTTTATCTAAGTCTGGGAGTCTTACAGAGAACAAACAGAATGTAACTCTAATGTTCCAATGCGTTCTACTCAGAAAGCCTATCCATGGCCATGGTTGCCTTCGCTGTGGCTAATCCCTTTAACCCATGAGTAATTCCGAAGTTAAAAACTTTAGTTCATAGCTGCAGAGTGTTTCTTTCAGTTCCTAATGTGGATCTACCACCCCTGTGTTCATCGAGATTCCGGTCTGGACCTCCTGGAGAAGAAGCCCAAGTGGCTAGCCAGTTCATTGCAGATGTCATTGAAAAGTAAGAGCACCATATATATAAAATCTTAGTATATTTCATTTTCAGATAGTTTTTGACTTTTCACTTACTTTGGTCTTTGTCATTAAATCAAGTTCACAGATAATTCAGAAAGAGGACTTATGCATTTCTCCAGGAAAGGTAAGAGGAACAGAGACGCTTGTAAGTTCTTACTAATTCTGAAGGGATTTTTTGAGGGGGAAAGTGAATAAGAAAATTAAAGCAACCAATCAAAGTAGCCTTAAATATGACTGTCTATAGATTTTAGAGATTCAGTAATTTCTTACTCTGTAATTCTCTAAATGAACCATATTATTTATAAAAAACAAGTATGACTAACTTATTGCATCTGGGAGCTACCTTTTTAACTGAAGTAATTTTTTCCCCCTTAACTTTTAGAGAAAAGTTCATTTTTTATTCTTTGTAGCAGATTATTTGCTAATCATGTTAACGTATGTTTATGGTGAAACCATACAGTAGATTCCAAGTCTATTTGAAAATGTAAAACTAGGTTGATTAGAAACTAGATAGGCTTTCCTACCAGATCACATAAACTGATAACATTAGCACTGTAAAACCTAAACATTTCATGCATTATGGGAAGGTGCCTTTTGAATTTTAGCTAGGGCTTTCAAAACCATCTCCCTCATCTGTAACCTCTCAATAAGAATGGAAATTCTTCTATATCTGTAGCTCCATTAAAGGAAATGGACAACTTTGCCATTTGTCAACTTGGTAATCAAAAGCCAGTTTTTACCAAACCTGTCTACTTTGATTTTCTACTTTACAAAGGTAAAGCATTTTCTTAAGGTTTCCGAGCCTTAAAGATTATCTTGCTTGTTTAACCAAGGGTTCTGTGGTTCTTATGTCTGAGCGAATAGTATGTTCTTCCCATTAGAAGGCTTCAATTTTCTTTTGTGTTAATTCTGTTTTAGCTTGCCTGGGTTCTATACTGTGATCTCATTTGCCTTGACTATGATGGAAACATTTTGGATGCCTGCACATTTGCTTTGTTAGCTGCTTTAAAAAATGGTAAGCAGCCTTAAAAAAAAGGCAGTATTTCCACAAATGGGTTAGAATGTTGTTTTGTGAAACTTTTCATATACATTTACTTTCATATGCTTCCAAATTAATGAATGTAATACTGACATGACTTTCCAAATATAGTTGATTGTTGTAAATTCTCTAACTGAATGCTGTTTAAGATTGCTGCTTTGACTGTACCCATCTACTTAGGTTAGGACTTTGTTCCTTTCCAAAATATTGGTTGAGGAGGGAGTTAAGAGTTTAACTTCCGGCTAGGTGACTGGTGAAGATCTGCCAGTATCCTCATAGTTCTTTATGTGATACTGTCAAAAGAAGTAGAATGGATTCTGTTGTTCTTACCGTGAGGCCACAGTAATAGTGAAGTTTCTTAACAAGGAGTCTAGGTTGACTGATTATGGAGTTCAATGACATGCATATTCCCTATCATTGCACTGCTGAATTGGTAAGAACAAATAATTGGAGGTAGAAAATAAGGTTAGCACAGCAATATTATTATAGAGTGGTTAAAGCAGAGACTTAGGTTTGAATCCTGGCTCTACCACTCTGTGCTAAAGTTTCCTTATCTATAATAAAATAGGGATAATAATACTTCCTAATAAGAGTATTGATTAGATGAATATAATGAAAATGTGAAAATGCTTAAAGCAGGACCTGGCAGATAAAGATTAACTAGACATGTTATCTAGTAGCAATCATTTTTATTTAAAAAATGGGTGCAGTGGCACATGCCTATAGGCCCAGCTACTGGGGAGGTTGAGGCAGGAAGATTGCTAGGAATTCAATCCTAGATCATTTTTACTTCTTAAACTTAAAAAAAAAATTATGCAGTAAGCACTAGGTAGGAATGTCAGATGCTGTGAAATGCAATGTATATCCTTTGTATTTACCTTAGTCGCTGTAATGTGCTTTTTAAAAAGGAATGTTTTAGGCAAGTTAAATAGAGGCAAAGGTGAATTTAAAAAAAAAAAAAAAAAAGCTTAGACACCCTTTGTCTGTTAGACTTACTTTACAAATTTGCCTTTTCTTAGTACAGTTGCCTGAAGTTACTATAAATGGAGAAACTGCTTTAGCAGAAGTTAATTTAAAGAAGAAAAGTTATTTGAATATTAGAACTCATCCAGTTGCAACTTCCTTTGCTGTGTTTGATGAGTAAGTTAATCAAACTTACTTTAAAATTTTCTGTATTTAAGATTAGGGTAATTGATGTTCAGCATTCTAACTCTTCAGAAATGCTTATGGTGACCCCACATCCTAGTTTTCCATCAACACTTCAGTTTATACTTGTCCCTGCACAATTATTTCTAGTCAACCTGTTTGCTTTCATAAGCATCCTGAATTGGATGATCAGTTGTGTTCCTTTTACCTGTTCCTTGGTTTACTTATACCTGCGTAATGTTAACTTTCCAATTCTTTCACTAAAGATTTACCTGAAGGTATCTTCAGTATTTTCCAGGGATTTTAGCATGTTCAGAAATAGAAGAGTAGGGCCAGGCATGGTGGCTCACACCTGTAATCCCAGTACTTTGGGAGGCTGAGGCCAGAGATCACCTGAGGTCAGGAATTGGAGACCAGCCTGGCCAACATGGTGAAACCCGGTCTCTACTAAAATACAAAAATTAGCCGGGCGTGATGGTGTGTGCCTGTAATTTCAGCTACTCGGTAGGCTGATAGTATGTTTAGTAATTTTAAAGTAAAATTTGTTCCATGGATTGATAAACTTACACTTTTTTCTTTTTATAGCACTTTGCTTATAGTTGACCCTACTGGAGAGGAGGAACATCTGGCAACAGGAACCTTAACAATAGTAATGGATGAGGAAGGCAAGCTCTGTTGTCTTCACAAACCAGGCATGTTCCTGCCATTTCAGTCCTAAACATATGTAGATGAAAACTCAGTGTGAGCTTTAAATTAGGGAGGGCCAAATGGAATATGGGATATTTTATTTACCTAATTGAAGTTTACTGTCGTTTTTTAGCTACCTCAAATTTTCTTATGTCTTTATGGTGTATGTCAGTGGTTCTTAAACTTACGACATACATTAGACTCACTTGGAGGTCTTGTTAAACTAACTTGCAGATCTTGAGAATGTAACCTGATTTACATTATCCAATTTTTTTGTTTTATAATTTGACATGACATTAGTGTAAGTATTGGCAAAATAATTTTTCAGGTGGAAGCGGGCTAACTGGAGCTAAACTTCAGGACTGTATGAGCCGAGCAGTTACAAGACACAAAGAAGTTAAAAAATTGATGGATGAAGTAATTAAGAGTATCAAACCCAAATAAATATCCACCACATTTTCAAAACAGATTTGTAAAAACTGTATTTGTTAACACTGTGCACAAATGTTTTGTACTAAATAAATCTCAAACTACATTCTTCTGAAAGATGTTTCTGGTATTTCTTAGGTCCCATCCATATATATTATGTAGAGTGAAACCATTTTTAAAAAGCAATGACTGAGGCAAACCAACCCTAGTTTGTTAAACCATTTCCCTGTTTTTATTTAAAAATGATAAGGTTGTGCTTCTGTATAAAGTTTGTACATCTAGCAATGTAAAATACTGACACATTAAAAAAAAAACAAAAAGGAAGTAGAAATTCAATCCTTTTGATTCAATGCTCTTGTGTTTTTAAAAAAGGAAAAAAAATAATGCAAACTTAGAATTTTGGAGTGGCTGGCGTGCCTCTCTTCATTTTACTTTTTGACTGGCTGCCGGTATGCCGGTGACGATGTAGCTGAGCTGTTTGTGCTGCTGCTGCTGCCATAGCCATTTGATGCTGCAAGAATCGCAACTGCTGCAAAAGGGAGGGAAAAAAATCCCAGTTATGTTAAATGCAGGCAGGTATGGAAAGGTTCTTTTCCTGAGAGTGATGAAAACAACAAAACTGAAAAAGGGAGAAAGCACCAAGATAACAAAAGGGACTATACCACATTGAGACAATGCACAGTCAAACAGCACCAGTGGCACAGAAGCCTGCTGAGGGCTTTAAAAATGATTCTTGGCAAAATTCAAAATTGTTACTTTGCCCTGCCAGTCTATATTGTAGTAACTCAGCAACTTCAGTTACCATTTTGTTGTATAATGATAGTTTATAGCAACATAAAACAACCCTGAATATCAAGATAGTCAACTATAACATGCTGACTTTCCTTCCTAAAATTATGGTATAACATTTTTCTAAATAAACAGGTATGACAGTTACTAACAGGAACACTTTTCTGCAGTAAAATATTAGAAAGTTAACAATTGGCACTTAAAACTGTCTATTTCAAAATATACTGCATACTAGAAAAATGTATGTTAATGTGCCACCAGCACTTCATGAAAAATTTTAAATTAGAAAGTATGGCTTAAATGTACAAAATATATTCAGTGCTCCAAGTTGACTGGCTAAAATGTCAGACTTTAAAATTTGCTAAATTATTTACCAATTACTGTATAGTCTTAAAAGACAGTCAAATAAAACTAAAGCAAGTTATTTTGAGGTACTTTTGGAGCTGAGTATCTTTAAAAATGTAATCAGAGTGAAGTTGCTGGATTACTTGTATCTGTTGCTGCTGTTGAAAGGCAGAGGAGAGCTGGAATCTCTGCTGAGGAAGGCTTTGCTCAGGTCTGTTCTCGGCAGAGCCAAGCTGAGACAACACTACAGAGAGGAGAAGGGGAAAGCAGGGCAGTCAAAAAGTTTGAAGGCTACCAGGGTTAGAAAAGGACAACATAGAAAATGAAATAATAGAAAAGTTAGCAGTATGATTAATCTTAAGTATCAAATCGTAGACATTTCAGAATAAATTTAGTATATAGTCTCCTGTTAGTTGGGGGTACCACTGATTATGGAACTTACTGGACACAAAAAGAGAAGGGAGTGCATTATTTGTCAAAGCACTGAACCTCTCCTCTTGCATCTGTATGGAATTTGATACTGGTGCTATTTTGTTTAGAAGAGTACATTATTTTTGAAATATAACTAACAAAGTAGGAAAAGGGAGATGGAAGAAATCTAAACTATTATAACAACAAAACTGGTAGACAGACAATTGCTTTAAACAAAAGATACTGCAATGAATATCAGACTATTAACAACAAAGGTGGTGAACTGAGACTGAGCATTGTTATTTTTCAGCTGAGTGGGACCACAGTAATCAGTTCAACACTCATTTTGCGTATGAGGAAGTTCAAGGCCAACATGGTTTAAGTGGCAAGTCTGTGGCTAGGAATATTCTCATGATTCTTCAAACTAGAGTCCTTTCTACTAAATTATATTACAGCTCTTTCCTAAAATTCACAACTGGTCTGATAATGGTAAATATTTATATAAACTTACATTTGGGAATTCATTACCTCTAAATTGAAACTTTATGTAAGGATTACTTACTGTCAAAATAAAGATCTTGATTATTCTAAAGGCATCATAGTAAGCCCACAGTGATAACTTAAGAAGCTGACAACAGTCACTCATTCAATCCTCAAACTCTATCATAGTTTTCTTATACATGTGGCTTACTGTTTTAATTAAGTATGAAGTTAGAATATCATCTTCAGCTGACAAGGTAATATTCATTAAGACTAAATCTTTAGTTCACCATTTACTGCTGGATGTGTTGAGAAGTAATTTAATCTTTTTTTTTTTTATGATAAAAGTGGCTTATAGAAGTTATGCTACTGACCATTAAGACTTAAGTCATTTATGCAACTACAAGTTACCAGAATGAGACAAAAGATTATGCAATGTAGAAAAATTCAGTCTTAACCCAGGAAAACTGAAAAGTTATTAATTAAGATAACTACTGGCAAACACTGAAAACAGCTCTAGTAACTTCCTAGTAAAGTGGATAATTATTAAATTTTGCCAGTAAACCGTAAATAAGGAAAATACAACTGTGGTAATTACATTAAGTCAAAGCTCTTTTAATTAATCCACTATCAAATTAATGAAAAAAATCTCAGCCATTAATTTAATAGTTCACACATTAAATATAGCTTTACTTTTTCCTGTTTACTGTTTGCAAGGGAAGGAAAAGAAAGCAATTTAAGTGGTGAGATCCCAAATAGATTAGATATGTTTACTAAATTCAGCATATAAAGTTATGAAGATACCTACCAGCTGCCTGTGACTGCATAAAACTTCCTACTCCACTAAGGTTAATAACAGCAGCTTGCTGAGCAGATAAGGCCTGTTCTTGACTGGTTGAACCTTGTTCAGAACCCTGAATAAGCAAATTAATAAATGACTTGAACAAGAAGGAAAAACAAATTTGAGCTGGTAAATAAGTATTTTTCCTGTATGAAAGAAAGTATCAGTATTAGACTAGTCTTGGAAAAAGAATAACAAGGAAAAGACTTCAAAGGTATTTAGAATAAGCAAGAATAAATTTATAGTATTTGAACAAAGAAAACTTTATTTTTCAGTGCATCTGTATTTATCGATTGTTTGATACTACCTTCATAATGCCTAAGGCTTTTATAAAGCTTCATGGAAACAGTTTTTTAAAGCATAAAACACCCTTTGTAACATAACCATAGTACTGAAACTTTTAGTCGGCAGCCTAAGTCAAGAAAAGGAAATAAAAGGCATATAGATTTTATAGGAAAAAGTAAAATTGTCCTTATTTGCAAATGGCACAATTGTCTGTAGAAAATCCTAAGCAATCTCCAAAAAAGCTCCTAGAAGTAGTAAGTTAGTTCAGTAAGAGGGCACAATACAAGATCAACATACAAAAGTCAGCACTACATATATTTGTAATAAACATGTGAAAAGTGAAATAAATACCATTCACAATTGCTGAAAAAAAAAAAAAGAAAAAAGCTAAGGTGTGAATCTTAAGTCTAAGAACACATGTACAGTACTTTTATACCAAAAACTATAAAACATTAACTTGGGCCTAAAGACATACTATATTCATGTACTGGAATTTTCACATCATAAAGACAGCAGTTCTTCCCCAAATTGATCAACAGGTTTAACTCAATTCCTTTAGAAATGCCAGCAAGGTTTTTGTAGATATAGACAAGATGATTGAAAAATTTATATGGAAAGTAGAAAACCTATATTAGCTACAACAATTTTGAAAAACGATATGGGAGAAAAAACTGCCTAATTTTAAGACTCACTACAGTGAACAAGACAGTGTGGTATTGGCTAAGGAATACACATATAGATTAATGAAACAGAACAGGGAATCTAAAAATAGACCCACCCAGATGGACCCAACTGACTTTTAACAAAGGTGCAAAAGTAATTCGGAAAGAATAGCTTGGATATTGATAGACAAAACCAAAAAGCCAAACTAACAAACAAAAAAAGGACCTAAGTTGCATACCTTGTACAAGAATAAACTGAAAAGGGATCATGGGTTCAAAATAGAAAACTATAAAACTGTTAGAAAAAGACATAAGAGAAAATCTTCGGGACCTTGGGCTAAGTAAAGAGTTCTGAGACATAATACCTAGAGCATTTTCCATAAAGGAAAGATACTGTTAACTGAGACTTCAGCAAATTGAAAACTTTTGCTCTTTGCAGAAGATCCTTTGGTACCACCTAAAATAGTGTCTGAAGTAACGTTTCAGTATATTATGGCAAGCCAAACATTTAAAAAGTTACATTTATCTTGAGGGGAACTCCCTGGAGATAGAGATTGGACAAAAGAGCACATAGCTGAAAGGAGGGTATGTTACTGAATTTGGAACCCAGTTCATGAAATGAACAACAGAATAAGGCAGACCACATCACCACCAAAATGGAGTTCTGATAAAACAAAAAGCTCAAAATGCAAAAAAACTAGCAGTGATATAAATTTCCTCTCAAAACACTACACAAACCTAAGGTAGGCTGTAAGCCACCACCATAAATAGAATATTCCAACAAGGAGAAATAACGATTAAACAAACATTTTGAAGAAGAAAAATAATCACTAAGAAATAAAAGAACTCAGGCTAAAACTAAAAGGATGAAAAAAGATGTACTAAGCTAAGATTAATCAAAATAAAGAAACAAGAAAAATTACCCTAAGATAAAGGTCATTTGTTAATGATAAGGGTAAATTAATCAAGGATATAACAATCCTAAATGTATATGCACTTAACAATATGGGCTCAAAAAACAACTTTAGCAAAAGGAAAAATAGAAATTTCCAGTTTTGTTTAGACTTCAAAACTTCTCTCAGTAACTGATAAAACATGTAGAAAGAAAAGTATATAGAAGATCTGAACAATACCATCAAATACCCTGATCTAATACAGAACACTCCTAACAGCAGAATATGCATTTTTTCCAAGCATATGTGGAGAATTCATCAAGACAGATCACGTTCTCAAGCACTAAACAAACCTCAACAAACTTAAAAGGACCAAAAATGTTTTCAGACCACAGTGGATATAAACTAGAAATCAACTACAGAAAGATATTTGGAAAATTTCCAAGTATTTAGAAATCAAACATATCTAAATAACTCATTTAAGAGGAATCCATAAGACAGAAAATTCTATGAAACAAAATGAAGGCATGGCATATCAAAATTTGTGGAAAGCAGCTTAAGCAGTACTGAGAAGGAAACAGATAACATTAAATGTTTATTTTAGAAAAGAATGACCTCAACACAATAATCTAAGCTTCCACTTTTGAAACTACAAACTATCATCAAGAAAACATTCCAGAAATAAAGAACTGACTCTACACACTAAAAGGACCCACAGAAAAAAAAACACGGAAAAATCAATTCTGACACACATCCTAGTGAAAATATTAGACAAACATTCAGGGCATACTTCTAGGCAAACTGCTTAAATAAATTTACAAGAGCAAGAAAATTAGACTGGCATCAGATTTCTCAAAAACAAATTTCTAGGCAAACTGCTTAAACTTATAGGAGCAAGATAATTAGACCGTCATCAGATTTCTCAAAAACATACAAAGCAAATCAACAGTAGGAAGCATTTTTAAAAAATTTAAAGGAGACCTAAAACTAGAGAACATTTAGAAGAAAACAAGTGAAAACACTTCAGTACATTGCATTTGGCAATGATCTTCAATATGATACCAAAAGCACAGGCAAGAAAAGTACAAAGAGAAAATGAACTACATTAAAATAAAAAAACTTGTGCAATGGATACAATCAAGAGTGAAAAGACAACCCATATATCTGTGAATCAACATCTGATATGTGTACATAAAGAATGAAGAACTCCTACAATTCAACACCAACAAAAAGTAATCTGACAAAAAAAAAAATTGGGCAAGGGACCTGAATAGACTTTTCTCCAAAGATGATATACAAATGGCCAACATGCATCTGAAAAGATGCTCCACACCACTAACCGTTAAGGAAAATGGTTAATCAAAACCACAAAGAGATTATCACTTCACACCCATTAGGATGGCTGCTTAAAAAAAAAAAAAAAAAAAGGCAAAATCCCCAAAGACCCAACCACCACCAGAAAATAACAAGTGCCGAAAAAGATTTGGACAAACTGTGATCTTTGTGTGTTGTTGACAGGAATGATATAAAATGGTATAGCCACTATGGAACAGTATGGTGCTTCTTAAAAAATTTAAAAATTACCACATGAACCAGCAATCTAATTTCTGGGTATATATCCAAAAGAGTTGAAAGCAGGGTCTCAAGGAGGTAACTGTACACCCACATTCATACTAGCATTATTTACAACAGCCAAAAGGTGGAAGGTACCCAAGTACCTTGTTTATCCGTTCATCAGTGGATGAATATGATATATACAAAATATGGTATTTACAAGTATTATTCAGCATGAAAAACATTCTGACACATGCTATAACATGAAGGTTCCTTGAAGCCTTTCTAAGTGAAATAAGTCAGACACAAAAGGACAAATGACTATATGATTGCACTTATATGAGGTATCTTGAGTAGTCAAACTGATACAAACAAAGTAGAATAGTGGCCCTAGGGAGGAGGAAATAAAGAGTTGTTTGGGAGGCTGTGGTGGGTGAATCACGAGGTCTGGAGTTCAAGACAAGACTGGCCAAATGGTGAAACCCTGTCTCTACTAAAAATACCAAAAAAAAAATTAGCTAGGCACTGTGGCAGGTGCCCTGTAATTCCAGGTACTTGGGAAGGCTGAGGAAGAGAACTGCTTGAACCTGAGAGGTGGAGGTTGCAGTAAGCCAAGATCACGCCACTGCACTCCAGTCTGGGTGACACAGCGAGACTCCATCTCAAAAAAAAAAAAAAATAGTTGTTATTTACTGGATATAGTTTCATTTTTACAAGATGGAAAAAGTTCTAGAATAGAAATCTGTTGCATAACAATGTGAATACACAACACTACTGAACTGCACACTGAAGAAGTTAAAATGGTAAATTTTATGTGTACTTTACAATTAATTTTTTTGAAAGAAAAAGATTTTATACCTAGCCAAGCAATCTTTAATGTGATTAGAATTAAAAAACGGTAAGCTTTGAATGTACCCTTCCTGAAGACTCTACTGGAAAATGAGCTGTATCTAATTAAGACTTAGCTGGGGGAAACTGGGCAAAAGGAATGGTGAATATTTCATATAATTTGTGAGATAGAGAAACACATGTGGGACCCAGGAATCAGTATTTTTTAGTTTCTCAGATTACTCCAGTGTACCCAAAGTTTAGAAGCACTTGTACTTCCTTCTACTGTCATTTATTGCAGTTCTTTTTCAATTTCATTCTCTTTGGCAGTGTACACATTTGTTTTGTGTATGTTCCCACTGCCCTACATTTTATAATAATAGGGTCATCTCTATTCTAATAGAAATGAAATCCTAAAAACAGAAAGATAACGATGGGATAGAAAATATACTAGTGATAGGGGCAGAAAGACCTAGGTTTGAATCTCTGGCTTGGCCACTCACTGTATGGCTATGAGCAAGCCATTTATCTGAATCTCATTCCTACTATTCAGTATGGTATGACAGTTTTGTTAGGAATAAGTACCCAATAGCTGACTGCTACCATTGTTAATAAAAACGGTACAGGAAATGTTTACACTAACAAAGCACGTGAAGTAGGCTTGAAATATACCAGAAAATGTTATCAATTTGATGTAAAAGCATATAGAAGACTAGAAAACCCATACCTGCTCCCCTGGCTGTTGAGGACTAGAAGTTGTGGGCTGCTGAGGTTGCTGTGGTGTAAACTGAGAAAGCTGCTGTTGCTGCTGCTGCAGAGTGTTAAAAATAAGTGAACCACCTGGAAGCTATTAAGAATTTAAACAAAAATTAACCAATTTCACATTATTTTATACCAAATATTTAAATTTATTCTACAAATATTTTTGGATTATTTGCTATTTGTCATTCTTTTAGTTATTGAGGAAACAGGTGAACAAAAAACAAGTTGGCTGCCCTTAAAAAAAAGATATATTAAGAGGCAATTTTTAAGTCCTATTTCGGCTCCCAAGTATGTTAATACTCTTAAACATAAATCTTTCAAGTTAGTAGTTAGCTATCCCAATTCAAATGGTACTTTTTATTTCACTTTTTATACATTAATACAAAAGAGCATTAAATACATTATAAAGTACAAACAAGCAGCTTATGAATCAGAAATGTATAGCATGAAAAGCTACCCCCCACAAATTTGTTCTAGTTTTGCCAAAAACACAAAATTATACACGATCTTTTATATAACACAGTGAGGAATCTCAAAGCTTTTTGAAGACCACTACTTTCTATGTCATGACAGAGATCAGTCTCAGTGTTAACAGGAATGGAAATCCTTTAGTTTGTTATATTTTTCTACATTTATTATGTACTGATTGAGGATGGAACATTTGACCTATGCTATGTCCAAATCTACCTAATGATGAGCTGTGATGGATATAGATAGATACTTTGACCCAAGGATTTTTTTTTTAACTATACACATCTAAGAATTCTATATTTGGTATTTTTTTGGACAAGAACCTCAAAGTGGTCCGTATATAAACCCCTATAGCTTAAAAAATGGAAATGTAATTTGAATGCAATTAATTCGAATTTAAAAAAGAATTTTTCAAGAAGCACTCATAAAACTCCAGGTTAAAAAGAAAAACAATACTTTTCAAATACAGCAAAAACAAATAAGTTTTTCCATTTTTTAGAAAATCTGTTATTTCTGAGTGCCAGGGTGGCTGATCTGTTACTGTCATTTCCCATCAATCCATAGCTTTGCTATGTTATATATACAGATCTTTATATTCATGTCTATCTATTTGCCAAACTATTATACTAATAGCTTACTCCTTCTTTAAATTAGAGGACCTAGCATAAGACCAGGAATTTGTAAATTCACCCCCCTTTTTTTTCCTTTGAGACAGGACTCACTCTGCTGCACGGGCTGGAGTGCAGTGACGCAATGTCAGCTCACTGCAGCCTCGACTTCCTGGGCTCAAGTGATCCTCCCACCTCAGCCTCTTGAGGATCTGGGATTACGGGTGCATGCCTGGCTAATTTTTTGTAGTGATGGGGTTTTACCATATTGCCCAGGCTAGTCTTGAACTCCTGAGCTCAAGCAATCCACCCACCTGGGCCTCCCAAAGTGCTGGAATTATAGGTGTGAGCCACAGACCTATTTTTAAAATCTCCTTCAAGCACAAAAAACAGTATTACATATATATATACAAAAACATCTGTTGAGAAAGCAGTTGTTTTCTAAATATACCCACTACTATTACTATAGGCAAATATCCTCCTTGGTAGGTATAAATTCTCCCCACTAGCACAGCTAGTTCATAATTAGGCAGGGTTACTGGAGCCAAAGTGTGGTATATAGGATACTGATTCTTTTTTATCCACTTGATCATACAAAGGTATCAATAATAACCACACCCTTAGAAGATTCTAAACAGACCTCAGAATTTCAAGTGCTGATACATATATACATTATTTAGAAAAAAAGTCAATGTATAAAATATTTAATCAAAAGCAGTATTTCAGGTTTACCTGGAGCAGATTTAAGGGCCTGAGACTTGAAGTATTTTTTAAACCAAATGGAACACCTGTTAAATAAAACTCATGGTTATAAAAGAATTGAAAGTTTATTACACATGAAAATAATTTACACTTTAGTATATAAAATAATCTTATGTACTTTCTGCACAGATGTGCTTATTTTCCATACTTCAAAAAATCTTAAAAACAAAAAAAAATTTCTTCAATATTTATCAATCCTGAGATTTTATTCAAAACTGTGAAGCACAAGATGTACATTATATTCTCTATTTCAGAAACTGAGACTCCTTTTTCATTCTTCTGTTGGCTGAACAAAGAGTCATCAAGAATTATGTGAACACCATGAGTATAATAAAACTAGCACTACTGTGCAAATATATTCCAGGTACTGGCATGTATTTACATTTCTCAGTGCTACATAGTACACTATAATAATCCTATCTCTAAGAACTGGTGTGCTCTATGCTATTTTTTTTAACTACAAATGCTAATTAGAATGCTAAAGAATGTTGCAATTTGTGTATAAGGATCAAAACTGAGATTGAGGAGACAGTGCTGTTAATTCTGAACTTATTCCTAAAAAACATGTTATGTAACATAACACAGAGCCTAGCTTAAAGCTGGTGGTGACAGACGTTTTCAGTAAAGGGCCACAATGTAGGCTTTGTGAGCACAAATGACCTCTGATGCATCTTATTCTTTTTACAATCCTTTTAAAAATGTACTAACCATTCTCAGCTTAGGCTGTGTGCTGTAGTTTGCTTACCCTGGTCTCAAGGTATGTATATATTTTACTTAATAACAAAATATACCAATTTGAACACTATTTAAACCTGTATCTAGTTCTCTATCAGATCATTTTCAAAAACAATTTGAGGTAAGAAATGCACATGGAATACTAGCGAAGCCTTGTATAAGAAACCAAAAAGTATAATCAGATTGAAATTTGGCAAAAATATCCCTTTCTGGAAAAATTCTCATTTAAAAAAATGGCTTAACTCCCTTTTAAAAGTGGATGACATCTGTATAATGCTTTCTAGCTTTCAGCACTTTCATACTTAATTTATTTCTCTTAAGTACCAACTGAAGATATTTTTATTCCCACTTTAGAGTGAATTGAACTGAGGCTAAGGGAGAAAAATGTAGTGACTTCTGTAAAGCCCCAGTTTAGCAAGTGAAGCCACCGTGTAACTGGTACAACTGGTAATTACATGTAAATATCCTAAACTCAAGATGTGATTCCATTTCCAGGACTTTTGCCACTAAAACACATTTATGCTTACTAAAATAAGAACACTAGCTAGAATTAGGAAATTACAGTGACATGTTAACATGTTTAATTATATTCTCTGGGTTCTCTTTCTCATAACTCACAGGAAGTTTTTAATAAATTTTTCTAGATGGTTTTTTCTATTAAATGTTTCCTCAGTAGACACGGAATTGTTTAAGATATTATAATACATTCTTTTAAAGAGCATCAAAAAAATAAGCACAAGTTATTATAACTGTTTTCCTGTACAGGTAATAACTGCTCCTAAATAAAAGAATGCTTATCATGTCTCAGGCACAGTTTAAGCACATAATCTGTATTATATTTCATTTAATCCTCATGACTATAAGTTATTATTGCTATTCCCATTTTACTTATAAGGAAAATTAGACACAACGGTAACTTTCTCAAGATTACACAAATTAAGTTGCACAACTGGGATTCAAGATGAGGTAGTTTGGCTCCAGAATCCAGGCTCTTAACTGCAATGCAGTTGCCTCTTGTGCACAATGTGTATTTTCAAAATACAGTAATTTTCCCTGGAATACCTACAGTGACAATAAGGCTACCAAACTGATTTTGTTATTTGGAAAGTAAAAGAAAGATGTGCACAGACTCAAAGGCTTACCAAGTTTTCCACAGAAGTTGATTGCTAGATGGCTTTTAAATCAAATATCAGAACTTTAAAGGCTTTTGAAATGAAATACCTGTGATATAATACTGCATGAAATAATGACATTAAATGCCTTTAGCATTACGCTTAAAATTACATTTTTACTTTAGCATATACTTTAATTTTTTTTAGAGGTTATTTCCAACATTCTGACCTGCTTGAGAAGCTGCCTGCATTGCACTGGGCAATGCATTTGGTAGCAGACCTCCTGAGGGTAGAAGGCCACTCAGGTTTATTCCTGCAGGAGTTATGGCACCAGTGTTACAGCCCAGCATGGGGTTTGAACCACTCATCAAAGCCTGGGCTCCACTGCAGGAGAATAAGACAAAGCATTAAACTTCACTGTAAAAGGAAAAAAAATCAGCCACATAATTCCTCAGATTAAAAAAACATACTACTAAGCAAACACAACTAGTTATTTATTTGTCTTAAATTTCAAAGATGATAATGCAGAGGATAAACAGGAAATTCTAAGCTGCTATCAAGGTGAAGTATCAAAAACAAGATGAGGTATCATCTTTGTGCAGTTAACAAATGTATTATTTAAAATTAAAACACTCATGTCAGGCAGCTTCTGTCCATATCTAAACTATTCCTGTTCAGTCTGAGTAATATGCAGTTTGTTCTTAATTTCACAAATTAAGAATTTAGATTGTTAAAACCATCTTAAAAAAAAAATCAGGACATCAACGCAAACTTACCAAACAGAGCCCACTACATTGATGAAGTTAAGTCCAGCAGAGTTTGCCATGACCTGGGTGGCCGTGGTTCCTGGAGTTATAGATGTTACCATGGTGGAAAGAGGAATGGTTGTTACAGGCATTGCCTGGCTCAGAGACCTTTGCTGCTGAGCAAACTGAGTTAACAAAGTGGGCTGAGGGGTGAAGCCTGAATCTTGGGGAGTAGGGGTGGCTGAAGGGGTACTAGGAGTTGAGCTCTGAGCATCAGGAGGGTGTGGGGTCGATGAAGGGGTTGGTGTAGGAGTAGATGGCTTAGGAGTTCCAGATCCTGCTCATTGAGAAAAATAAAAATTGCTGGTTTGTTATAAATGGCCAGTCCTTTTAAAATAAGGTTAATGGAATCTTACTTAGCACTGACAATTTGTTCTAGTTTTTTTTTTTTAAAGCAGTTAACTGCAAGTGTTAATTTCTACACGATACATGAGTGTTGCTACACTCAATTACAATTAAGGATGCAGTATATCACCTAAAAATCCCATTAGAGATGCTATTGCAGTAACAGTATAAATATACAGTTATATTCTACCACAATACCCATTTAAAAGTTAGTTTCCTACATGCTGCCCTTGGCCTAAAAAGTTCAAAAGGAATTCAAATTAATTTGTTATTTACGATTTCATTAATTCAAGACTTCATTTAAAAATATTGCTTCTTTAGTGTAAAAGTCTGAGATAAACTGTGAACATATTTAATAAGTTACATATGGTTAACAATCGTATTTGGCACCTAAATATACCTGTTTAATTCCTAACACATCAAGTTTATCCTGACAAACGAATTTATAAAAAACAGTAATAAAGCAAATATCTGATAGATAATACTGCATCTTTAACAGTAACTGTGTACTTCTGTTTAAATGTAGAATGTATAGAAAATCTGTTGTGAATGAAGTATGCACAGTTTATCAATTTTTTAAAAAAACAAAAACAAAAAACAAAAACCAAAAAAGTAAAACCAAAAGCTCTTGAGGTGTTTTCTTTTTTAGCTTTCATGTCCTGCAGAAAGAAAGGAAAGAAATGTGAATGTCCAGAAGCTGTCACTCAACCCTTACTTAAAGTAACAACTGTGTGCAGTAGATTTACCATAATCCATACCCACAACATAAGAAGTGTGAATAAGACTTTCAGAAAATTTATATATTTTTCTTTGTGCAAAACAAGAAGGCAGAAAAATTACACCTTTTGAGCTATCAAGATGAAGATGTTTATATCTAATGCGAAGACCACCCTATCACTGTGCAGTGTACTCAAACTTTCAGCATATATTACCTATCTACAAAAAATCTAAAAAACTGGATGACTCTTTTCCCCAAATTGGTACCTTTCAGATATTTACTAATTTGAAGAAATATTCCCAAACTAATGTTAGCATTCTTGTAAAACTCTTCTTGATGTTAAAAAAAAGTATTCAGTAGTAAAAATCACATTTCAGTATCTTCAGAATAATGCTTCATGATCATAACATTTTAGTAACTGACAACAATTTATAAAAGAGTGTAGGAGTGTTGTTGAAATATTGTTTTTCAGTTTATTGTATCACCACCTTGGAACTAGTTGACTTCTTACATATACAAAGATAGGACCTGCAGCAACAACTCTTATGACATTTTTTTCATATCAGCCGCACAATTTACATAAATATGTAAAATGATCCTAGGGTACACTGGAATAAAAAATATTTTGAAATCTTATTGCCACATGTAACTACCAGATTATTTTTTTAAGGAGATGTGTAGATTGCAAGTCTATAAGAAAGGTATATGCAGAATGCATACAGATATACAGAAAAACAAGTACAATTACAATAGAGACATAATACATACAATAACAAGAGCTCTGCCTGAAGCTTCTAGCAACTTATACATTTTGGGTACACAGTACATTCAGATATCACTACTTCACAGGTTGAAAAAAGCTGTCTTAAGAAACACTAATGCAAAAGCTTATGAAGATTTAATGAAGAATTTAAGTTATGACTCACTTTGTGATGAGCTGGCAGGTGACAGGGCAGCTGGAGAAAGCATGCTAACTTGATTGAGATCCACAGATGATTTCCGAGGAATACTTGATGGTTTAGAAGAAGGAGGAGGAGTTGGAGATTTGAGAAAGCTGCTTGTCTGTTGTGGTGTAAAATAGTTACCTAGAAGAACATAAAAGTTATTTTCTAAATCTATAATTCAAAATTCTGTGAACTGTAGAAATCAAAATGGGGGCAAAGTTTTAAAAACGAGATTATGATTATATAATGTTTCTTATTCTAGACTGCAGAAAACTAAGAAATGTAATACCTGAGGAACTATTTCCTGAGCTTGAGGGAAGTTTGATTGGTGGGGGTCGATGTTTTACACCCTTCCCCAATACTGAAGACTGAACTGACACGGTTTCAGTTTGCTAAAAGACAGTGACATAAAGCATACTTGTTAAAATAAATACTGCTATAAATCTCAGATAAAAACACAATTTTTAACTCTGCGAAGTGCTCTTAGTAGTTAGATTGAATACTACATGTATTACAGAGGAAATTTCACATGAGACCCATGAAATATATTATGGTATACATAAAGAATGAGGAAAAGATTTCTGAGTAATAGGGTGGGAAGAAAGAGTTTTAGGGAGAAAGGCAGAGAAGATGAAAACAAAGCTTCTACCCTTCCATGCCTATCTATTAAAGGAAAATAACAGCTGTTAAAGTCTAATAACTAGAACACAGGTATTCGTTATAATTTTTTTTAATCTTTGTGTACATTTAAAAATATTACAAACAGTTAAATTTTAAAAAAAGGCAAAAGTAAAAACAAAACTAAACAGTATCTCCACTCCTCAAAAATGATCATTTTTTTGAGACAGAGTCTCGCTCTGTTGCCCAGGCTGGAATACAGTGGTGCAATCTCGGCTCACTGCAACCTTCACCTCTGGGGTTCAAGAGATTCTCCTGTCTCAGCCTCCTGAATAGCTGGGATTACAAGTATGTGCCACCATGCCCAGCTAATTTTCATATTTTTAGTAGAGATGGAGTTTCACCGTATTGTTCAGGCTGGTCTCAAACTCCTGACCTCAGGTGATCACCCGCCTCAGTCTCCCAAAGGGCTGGGATTACAGGTGTGAGCCACTGCGCCTGGCCTCAAAAAATGATTCTTAACATTTCCCAGATTACTTGTGAAATAACTGGGACAAAGAAGTAACATTAATGAAACACACTTCTGTTTCTTTTGCTGGAGAAACCTGACTCAGGCTGGCTGAGCCACTGGAGCTGTGTGACATCTTGACCGGACATTTAGCTTCATTCTGGACTAATTCTTGGTACTGGTTGACTACCCTAAAATATCAAGAGAAAACAGGTAAAGATTAGATAACCAGTTTTAAACAGAAATTCATTTTATAGGAAAGAATAATAATGGGGAAAAAAGGTTCTGTCAAAATTGACATAAAAATTAAAATTAGGCAATTTGTCTTTGTGTTAAAAGTACATAATTTTAATCTGTTCAATGTAAAATTGTCTAAAACATTTTGCTAAAGAACAATCTAAAGATATTCTTTCAATATCTTATTTATAATGCAGAAATTACAGGGATTACTTAATAAGCAGCCAAAGAAAATATTCACTTCCCTTCTTAGATTCTGATTAAAGTACTATCTAGAAATCATCTTCCTTAACTATAGTAAATATATCTAAGTTTTCTTATTTAAAACAAAACTAAATTTTAAACTTTTTTTGTTTCTTTTTTTAATTATATGAAAAAAAATCCTAGGTATTATAAACACTGGATAAATGCATTTAAGTCCACCCCAAAATCTCATCCCACAAAAAGAACCAATCTTAATAGTTTGGTGTATCATAAGCTTTTAAACATCTTTCTAAAATCAATAAAGTTTTAAATTTGGAAAGGACCTTAGAGATTTTACTGTGCAATGCCCCAATTTTACAAGACGCCCATAAATATTAAATAGTGTATATGTGGTTAATACATAACCAAAATCAAATTTTTTAACTCTTAGTGAAGTATTCTCTAACCTATAAGGGTGAAAAATTTTTCATATCCATCCTGACCAAAAATACAGATGCAAGTATTTTTACCTCTCAGCATCGGTCTTTGAGCCAATAATGAACCTAAAATGTTTAAGGAAAAAAGGAGAGAAAAGAATTAGGTAAAAGTTGTCTTAAGGAGCCTTGGGATTACTTTTGAAATCTTCCATGTTTTAGTCACAGTAATATAAATTGGTGTTAAATCTACCAAGATATGGAAAAAACTGTATTGCATTTAAACATATAAAACAATCACTAAGTTTTGCATGCATTATGAAATAATGTGAATAACTTGGTTGATTTAATTAAGGGATTTTCTTTTGGCACAAAATTTATTTATTAAAACATAATTTGGGCTGAAAGTTACAGTGCTATATACCCTTTCAACTATTGGTCCTACAGGGAAATCACTGAACTACCATGTGCAAAGGTCTTTGGCCTTCCTCTCACTTTAACCTGCAATTTTAGAAGTTATTATTAATGTCTACATAACAGGTCCTTAGAATATATTTCAAACAAGGTATACATATTCATCTCCAATTCGAATAAAATAACTTCAGCAAGTCTTTTAAAGAGTTTGACATTGATATAATCTCTTAACAGATTAAAGTAGTTTATTTTTAATTACCAATTTGAATGATCATCTGTGGAGGAGCTGAAATATAAAATGTAAAAAAAACTTAGTTAATGCAGCTCAAACTTTGACTTCATAATTTATTAAATACTATATGAGTATGGAAGAATGACTGAAAGATAATTAAATCATGCAGCTACTCTGATGTAAAGGTAAAAAATTCAATTTTCTTCCTGTCAAACAAATTAGTCATTTGGCTTTATAGACCAATTTTTTCACGACATAACATGTATCACCCTTGTTTTCTATAGGAGTAAGTTAATAAATTTAAAATGGCCAATGTATATTGTCTTTAAGTGAAAGATTTTTATAAGTAATCAATATTGGGTACTATACTCACTACCTGGGTGGTGGGCTCAATAGACACCCACCTTAATATCATGCAACATACCCCTGAAACAAACCTGCACACTTAACCCCTAAATCTAAAATAGAAATAAAGGGAAAAAATGGCTTCCTTAAAAATGCATGCTGAAGATTCAGAAATAAACTACTGCAATGTACATCATTTTAAAAAAAGTTTATCATCAAAATATTCAATCCTTTTATAATAAAAACTGGTCATGTGAAAAAATAAGTTGAGGATTCCCTGCTATTTCCTCTCACTGACTTTTACCTAAATATTGGTGGGGTTGCTCTTTAAAAATCCACCTTTCTACTGTAGTTTCAATTAGCATTCTGTGTAAGTAAAGGCTTTACAATTAACATAGACCTGGCCCCATCCTTTTCTGCTGAGTTTTTTTCCCCCTTTTTTTCAAAACAGCATCTGTTTGGTTTAAAAAAACAAATAGTAAAACAATTAAAATAAAACTAAATACTGTTAGTACCAAATGTATGTAGTTCATACATTTTGGAAGATCATTTCTCTCTCTCTCTCTCTCTCTCTCTCTCTCTCCATATATATACATACATACACACACACACACACATATAACATACATATATATGTATATATATATATATATATATATATACATATATATGTATGTATATTAACATGTAGGGCCAATAACTACATTAAGCATTGAGTCTGCATCCTTACATGCAGTGCCAAAATACCAAGCATCTTTGTACATTTATAGTAAACTTTCTTCCTATTTTAAACATACTACCCAAACACTTCATGTTCACAAACAGGTTAAAGTCATAAGAGCCATAAATATATAAAGAAGGATATCACAGGAATAGCCTTCAAAACAAGCATAAAAATAATTAAACACAGGTAGTTTTTTTAAAAAAAAATTATTATTATTATTTTTTGAGATGAAGTCTTGCTCTGTCACCAGGCTGAAGTGCAATGACGTGATCTTGGCTCACTTCAACCTCCAACTCCCTGGTTCAAACTATTCTCCTGCCTCAGCCTTCCAAGTAGCTGGGATTACAGGCCCACGCCACCACAACTAGCTCATTTTTGTATTTTTAGTAGAGATAGGGTTTCACCATGTTAGTCAGGATGTTCTCAATCTCCTGACCTCGTGATCCGCCTGCCTCAGCCTCCCAAAGTGCTGGGATTACAGGCACGAACCACCACATCCAACCTAAAAAACTTATTTTTAGTAACTCTTGAGCAACATGGTAACTATGATTTAAGTTTACTTAGGTCTACTGCCAAATCTAATTGTTATATTTAACTAGTAAGTGAATTCCCAAAGAGAAATTTTTATTCATTAATGGTTCATCAGTAGTTAGTTACTAGATAAATTCTTGGTGCCTTATTTTTTTTCAGTTACTTGTATTTAATAGAACTCACTGTGATGGAGACATCTGGGTGTCACTTTCTTCATCTGCTTTACATGGCTGTATTTTACCGTAGTAAAGTGGATCTCCAAGTGACTGCAAGATGGTCAACTTTGTTTTCTGATACTGAGTGCCAGCTTCACATTCAAATATATAATCATCTTTTACATCCTGAAAAAGACATAGCACCCCAAATAAATACCTTCACAAGCAAGTAGGCAATAAGAATTAGTAAAAATCAGAAATAAATTGACACATTAACATGTATCTGACAATAGGAGACACACAACACTTAGCCTACAAAGATGTTTAAGACTGTCTATGAGAATAAAGCACAGCATGGTTCTTAAAAACTATATGGGCACTCAGTATGCATTTAATAAGGCATTAACATATACTATGAAGTATGTACATGCATGTAACAATATTAATACATCATTAGATACATTATGAGACATACTAATATACATATTGGAAATCATAGCAATGAACATTTATTGAACACTGTTCTCAGCATTCTACAGGGACTGCCTCAAGTAAGCTTCATCATATTCTTCTGGTTGGCAATGTTATTATCACCATATCAGAAGTCAAGGAATTAAGCAAAGAGAGGTTAAATGACTAGCCTAGGTTCACACAAGGAGTTAGCAGTCTATATCTCAGCTTGCACCCCAGATCCTCATGCTGCCCTGCCTGTCTATACTCAGGAGGGCAGTACAGAATTCTTTTTTACATGGTACTTTGGGAATGACAGTTCCAATGGCATGTTTAGTTAATCAAACTTAATACGGTAGAATTTCATACTAGACATATGAATTGCAAATATTAAATAATATTAAAAGGATAGAACTTTCAAAAGCAGATCTGTTTCTATTTATAATTTGTCTGCTTTTGCTATCACACACAAAAAACATCTCTCGTCATCTCACTCCTAGGGTTCACCTAATTTAAATATTATACCTATTTCTCCTTTTTAAAGACATTATTATTGCAATCAGGAAAACTTATGAAGAACACTTCTGTTAAAAGGGATCCTTAGAAGAATTTATTAATTTGAAACAAAACAAATCAGAACTACCAATATGCAAACCCAAAGTAAAAATGAAGTTCTTCATTAAAATTGCTCTTTAAGGCCAGCCACAGTGGCCTATAATCCCAACACTTTGGAAGGCCGCGGCAGGTAGATCACCTGAGACAAGGAGTTCGAGACCAGCCTGGCCAATGTGGCAAAACCCTGTCTTTACTAAAAATACAAAAATTAGCAAGGCGTGGTGGCGGGCGCCTGTAATCCCAGCTACTCAGGAGGCTAAGGCAGGAGAATCACTTGAACCCAGGAGGCAGAGGTTGCACTGAGCTGAGATGACGCTATTGCACTCCAGCCTGGGTGATAAGGGCCAAACTCCATCTCAAAAAAAAAAAAAAAAACAAAAAAAGAAAATTGCTCTTTAAAATGCAAAGTGTACTTTGGTAAACAAAATAGTTACTTCTTGTAATTCATGGAACTCCCAGAAAATTATTTAAAAAAGAAAAAAGGTCCCAAACTAATGACAATTGCACTTTATGTTTAGTAAATTGAGAGGCCAGATTAGAAACACAGACTGGCAATGATTACTTACATGGGCTGGCCAGACTGTTGGCTGTGAGTCATCAGATTTGATAGACTTCTCCACTTTAGCATATTTCTCCACCTAAACAATCAAATCAAGAAATACCACATAAAATAGAATCCATATCAGATAAAATAGATCAGTATTCTGACCAAAGAGAAGAAACTAAGTTACTTGACAATACACTCGTTACACTTGTTAGTGCAAGAATTCTTAAATCACTGATATCAACGACTTATGCTTAAGTAGTTTAACACACAAAACTAAGAAAGTCTAGGGAAGGTAAAATATTAAAAGCTGATGAAAGTTTTTGACCCGTTTCTACTTTCTAGTCAGACTTGGGCCATATATTCTGTATACGTCCTATATTCTGTACATGTCCTAGGCATCTGTGAGAGTCAAATATTAACTTACTGGCAACCATGATATTAAGAGTAACTTAGACTTACCTGGGGTACCTATTAAAAATACAGATTTTCATGTCTGTCCCTTAGAAATCCTAAGTAAGCAGATATTGAACAGGGCTTGAAATCTCTGTGCTTAACGGATACCCTAGGTAATTCTTCTGATTGAGCTAGACTAAGACGCTTTGTTTTAGGGCACTGCTATTCAATGTGTGGTCCACGGACCCCAGCACCACATAACCTAGGAGCTTGTAGAACTGCATCTTAGGACTCAGACCAGACTTGCTGAGTAGCAAACTACAGTTTAACAAGCTCTCCAGGTGATCTGTAAGGACATTAAAGTTTGGGAAGTACTCCAGCTTGCCCTCCAAAGCTAAATTCCACCCTTCTGTATTTACAATGAAATTCTATTCTCAGGCCATGTTCCTTGAAGAACAGTGCATAAGCTACCAAAAGATAATATGGCTTACACTTCCTTGAGTTGTATATACAGTCTACTGTGCTTTGCACAATTTCTTTTTTTAAAATCACAAATAGTAAGAATAATGCATGTGCCAGCATGGAAAGGATGCAACAGAACAAATCTGAAAATAACAAGTGTAAAGAGTTGAGTGAATATAAAAAAGAACACAGGAGAAGGAAAAATACAGGATCATCTAACACATCCCTTTTCTGTCTTCAAGTCATTTATAATTCATACACATAATGGCTCAATAAAGAATACAGCCCAATGTTCGTAATCCTGGTCACTTCTCTAGTATTATTAATCTTTATTTTTTTTAAGTCATATTATTAAATACTACTAAAAATTTAACCACTTTGAGGAAACAAGCACTATTAGGAAATTATGAAGAAATATGAAAAAAAGATTTCATGTGATTATGTAACATACACTATATTTTTCCACATTTTAAAATTGTTTTGTTTGCCATTCCTGCTCCAAACACAACTATATTAAGGGGTTATGTTCTTTCAACTTAATGTGAAAAAAGAATAATACACAGCTTCTAAAAATCATTTTTCAATGTTTTTTGAAATAAATCATATAGTTAAAAAAAATTTTTTTTAGAGTATGATCTAAATCACTGTTTTTAAAAGAAATGTTTTCTGTTGTTTTCTCAAAGTATGTGACCGAATGGCAAAACTTAGGAACTTTATATGAAAAAAAGCAATTCATGAACTGACTTACATCTACTTCAGAAGGTATGGCCAAATTACAGGGGCTCCGTTTCCACATATCTACACACTGAAAAAATTAAAAACAGTAGAAATGGAAAACTTGAAATAAGATAGGCTTTTGGCATAATAACCTTTATTTAAAAAATATATACTTACATTTCCTGCTTTAGAAATTTTGAGGTCATAATGCTGACCTGCTTTTCTTTCCTTTCTTTTTTGTAAGAAATCAAGTAACCTCAGCTGAGGAGGAGGTGGACAATGAGATAGATCCTGCTGCCGATTCAGAGAGGATCTGGAATACCTCTTGAAACACCTGAAATAATATTAAGAGATTTGAGCTAGACGGCACTAATAAAAGAAACTCATATGTGAGTTGAAACTAGTCAGTGCCAAATATGTACAAATCATGTTTATAGAACACTGCCACATGCCAAGCACAGTCCTAGAAACTGGTGAAATAAAAATGAGTTAAGACAAACAAAATTCCCATTACCATAGAGCTATCAAGTCTAGAGGGAGAGGAGATATTCACAAGTAAACAGATACAATAATTTCGAATTTCAGATACCAGTAAGCAGTAAGAGAAAAAACAGTACTTGGGAGAGTATGGAGTAAGGAGGTCAACATTAGGGAAGGGAACAGGGAGAGGGGAGGAAGGCAAAGAGTCTGAAGAAACGACATGTGAGCTGAGACAGGAATGATGAGAAGGAACTAGCTATGGAAAGATGGGGATGAAGGGGATAACTTCCAGTTTCGGGTACAGGCATTTAAGACTCTGGAAGCTGCCACCTCATCCTAACAAGTAAAAAGCTGAATCAACAGAAAAATTAAAAATTCTTCTTAGATCCATAAAAATGGTGTGGTCACAGGACAAACCAATGCCCGAAACTTGGAGAAACCAACAGGCAAATGCAGAGCATCATGGCTTGCTAAAGCAGAAACCCATTAGCACAAACCTCCTCAGGAACTAGTGCTGGGGTAGGGAACCTCAGGTATAATTGATGAATTGCTGGAGGCTTAGTGTGGACATGTCTGAGAGATTCAAAACTCCAGGGGGATCTAGTCACTGGGAGCCTCCACATTTTAGGGCGTTTTATCTCCAGGAGCTCAAAGAGGTTCTCACAGTGACTAATAGGGAAAAATCCCCTCATGTTTACCATAGAAGGTGGGGAAAAGGAAATATTCTGAAAAATCAGGGAATAAGTATTTGAAGCAGAGATATTTTTAAAAGATGCCAAGGGAGGCATAAACTTGGTTTGTTTCAAAAACAGAAAAAAGATAGATATGCCTAGAGTCAGTTTATAACTAACTGACTTTTAAAACTATAATATGTTCTCAAATTTCAAAACTAAATTACAAATTCTTACCTTAAAAGTAAGATTAATAACAATTAGATTAGTCATTTGTTATTAGGAAAGTAATGAAAAAATTATTCTTTCAGTTCTTATTTGATCTCAGCCTCTTTATCTTTTTGGCAAATAGACTATATAAACCTAAGAGGAAATTTGTTCTTTAAAAGACTGCAGAAAATTCATCAGTTCAATCTAAAGCAGAGAGCATAAAAAAAAATATCCAAATACTATATAAGAAAATGTAGTACAAGACCATTAAAAATCCTATTTTCACTGCAATGACTTAAAGAAAGTAAGGTTTAAAAATAAATCCTATTTTCAAAAAAATAAAAATCAGAGGCTCGTACAGCTGGTCATGCTAATAATCCCAGCTGTTTGAGAAGGGAAAGTGGGAGGATCACTTGAGTCCAGAAGTTCAAGACTAGCCTGGGCAACAAAGAGAGACCCTCATCTCTACCCTTCCCCACCAATATCAGAGCAACTATACCTTGGAGGGAAAAGATACCATAAATAGCAAAATTTAGAGCTACTTTTGGTTTAATCTTCTACAACAATTACCGTTTCATTGGGCGAGTGTTCATCTTTTGCTTGTTATAAAGCAGTCGGTTTGCAGTGCAGGTGACTGCTATAGAAGGATCAAGACAGAGTGGTTCAGCTGTAGCTAGGATGAGCTGGCTCTCCAGCAAAAGTTTGTCTTCCTGAAATGTGTAGGAAAGAGCATATGTCAATACCAGATTTAAGATTTTCAAATATGTAATTATACATAGCACTTAATCTACAAATACTCCCTGGAATTCTGATAAGGACTACAGTAAAATATGGTATTTTAGGTTCCAATGTTAGTGTGCATGTAAACATTAGAAACCAGAATGCATAAATAAACTTTTTCTTTTTTTTGGAGGCAGTCTCGCTCTGTCACTCAGGCTGAAGTGCAATGGCATGATCTCGGCTCACTACAGCCTCCGCCTCCTGATTAAAGCAATTCTTCTGCCTCACCCTACCAAGTAGCTGGAATTATAGGAGCCTGCCACCACTCCCGGTAATTTTTTTGTATTTTTAGTAGAGACAAGGTTTCTCCATGTTGGCCAGGCTGGTCTCCAATTCCTGATCTCAGGTGATCCACTCACCTTGGCCTCCCAAAGTGCTGGGATTAGAGGTGTGAGCCACCGCTCCCAGCCAAGAAACTTCTAATGGAAATTCAATGCTGGTAGACCTCATTTGATTGTACTTTGTAAATATTGCACTTTTTACATATTGGAGATCTGTGGCAATTTTGCATTGAGCAAGCCTATCCAGTGCCACTTTCCCAACAGCACACACTTATTTTGTGTCTGTGTCACATTTTGGTAATTTTTTCAGTATCTCAAACTTTTTCATTATTATTAAATCTATTATGGTGATCTGTGATACTTGAAGTGTACTCAATCAAGAAATGATGTATCTTCTCTGACAGCTTCACTGATCTACCACTCCCCTGTGTGCCACATCCCTACCCTGTCTTCTTCTTCTCAGGAATCTACTCCTAGGCAAAATATGGCCTCTTAGTGCTCAAGTGAAAGGAAGACTCACACATCTCTCATTTTAAATCTAAAGCTAGAAATTATTAAGCTTAATGAGAAAGGCCTATAAACAGCTGCAACAGGCTGAAAGTCAGGCCTCTTGTGCCAGTTAGCCAAGTTGTGAATATAAAGGAAAAGTTCATAAAGGGAATTAAAAGCACTACTCCAGTGAACATCTGTAAGTAAGAAAGCAAAACAGCCTTAGTGCTGATACAAAGAAAACTTTAGTGGTTTGGACAGAAGATCCAACCAGTTGCAGCATTCCTTAAACCAAAGCCTAATCCAGAGCAAAATCCCATCTCTCTTCAACTCTATGATGTGAGAGCAGTGAGGAAGCTGCAGAAGAAAAGTTTGAAGCAGAAAACTGGTTCATGAGGTTTAACAGTAGAAGCTGTCTCCAAAACATAAAAGTGCAAGGTGAAGCAGCAAGTGCTGATAAACCAACTGCAGCAAGTTATCCAAAACATCTAAGATAACTGATGAAGGCTGTCACCTTAAACAACAGTATTTCCAATTAAATGAAACAGCCTTACATTAGAAGACTACGCCATCCAGAATTTTCATAGCTAGAGAAGTCAATGTCTAGCTTCAAAGCACAGGCTGATTCTCGTTGGGGATTAATACAGCTGGTGACTTGAAGCTAGAGCCAATGCTTGTTTGAACATTCTGAAAATCCTAGAACCTTTAAGAATTACTACTCTGTCAGTGCTCTATAAACAGAACAACAAAGCCTGAATGACATCACATTTCTGTACCACATAGTTAACCAAATTATTTTAGGACCACTACTGAGACCTACTGCTCACAAAAAAGATTTCCAAAATATTACTCCTTATTAACAATGCCCTTGTCACCCAAAGCTCTGATGGAGATATATAAGGAGATTAATGTTTTCATAGATCCCAATGCAACATCCACTCTGCAGCCTATGGATCGAGGAGTAATTTCAAGTCTTAATATTTAAAAAATACTTTTTGTACTGCCATAGATAGTGATTCCTCTGATGGATCTGGGCAAAGTAAATTAAAAACCTTCTGGAAAGGATTTGTCATTGTAGATGTCACTAAGAACATGCATGATTCACAGGAGGGGGACGAAATAGAAACATTAATAGGAGTTTGGGAGAAGCTGATTCCAACCTTCATGGATGACTCTGAGGGGTTCAAGACTTCAGGACAAGAAATCACTACAGGTGTGGTGATAGCAAGAGAACTATAATTAAAAGTAGTGCCTGAAGATGTGACTGAATTGCTATAATCTCATGAATAAACTTGAATGGATGACCAGTTGCTTCTTATGGATGAGCACAGAAAGGTTTCTTTTTTTTTTTTTTTTGAGTCAGAGTCTTACTCTGTCACCCAGGCTGGAGTGCAATGGTACAATCTCCACTCACTGCAATCTCTGCCTCCTGGGTTCAAGCAATTCTCCTGTCTTAGCCTCCTGAGTAGCTGGGATTACAGGCGCCCACCACTATGCCCGACTAATTTTTGTATTTTTAGTAGAAATGGGGTTTCACCATATTGGCCAGGCTGGTCTTGAACTCCTGACCTCATGATCTGCCAGCCTCCCAGTGCTGGGATTACAGGTTTGAGCCACCGTGCCCAGCAAAAGTGGTTTATTCAGATGGTATCTATTCCTGGTTGTGAACATTGCTGAAATGACAACATAATATTCAGACTATTACATAAACTTAGTTGACGTCACAGCAGCAGCAGGGTTTTAGAGGGCTGACTCCAATTCTGAAAGATGTTCTACTGCAGTGTAAAATTACATCACATGCTACAGAGAACTCTTTCATGAAAGGAACAGTCAATCGGCAGGGCAAACTTCACTGTGTCTTATTTTTAAAAACTGCCACAGTTGCCCCAATCTGTCAGACCCTGATCTGTTAGCAATCATCAATATCCAGGCAATACCTTCCACTAGCAAAAAGATCATGACACCCTGAAGGTTCAGATGATCATTAGCTTTTTTTTTTAGCAATAAATTATCTTTAAATTAAGACATATAGATTGTTTTTTTTTTTTTAACATAATGCTATGGCACCCTTAATAGACTACAGTACAGTTGACTCTTGAACAACATGGATTTGAACTATCAAGGTCCACTTACACAGTTTTCAATAAAAGTTACACCGAGTGTGCATGCCTCTTCTGCCTCCCCTTCCATCTTCTCTACTTTTGTACTACTGAGAAAGCAAGATGAACCTTTCCTCTTCTCCTCAGCCTACTCAATGTGAAGATGATGAGGATGAAGATCTTTAATGATATACTTATTAATAGTAACCATATTTTCTTTTATGATTTTCTTAATGTTTTCTTTTCTCTAGTAATTAATTTTAAGAATACAGAACACAATACATAAAACACACAAAATAAATGTTAATTGCCAGGCATGGTGGCTCACACCTATAATCTCAGTACTTTGGGAGCCCCAGGTGGGCAGATCACCTGAGCTCAGGAGTTCAAGATCAGCCTGGGCAACATGGTGAAATCCCATCCCTACCAAAACAAAAAACAAAAAAAAAAACTAGCTGAGCATGGTGGCATGTACCTATAGTCCCAGCTACTAAGGAGGCTAAGATGGGAGGATCACTTGAGCCTGAGAGGCAGAGGTTGCAATGAGCTGAGACTGCCAATGCATTCCAACCTGGGTAACAGAGTGAGACTCTGCCTCAAAAAAACAAAACAAAAAACAAAATCCAGTAAGGCTTCCCAGGAGGCTATCAGCAGTTAAGTTTAGAGGAGTCAGAAGTTATACATGGATTTTTGACTGCATAAGGGCCACTGCCCCTTATATCTGTGTTGTTCAAGGTCAACTACATAGTATAAATGTAACCTTTTTATATTAGGAAACCAAAAAGTTTATGTGACTTGCTTTACTGCAGTATTTGCTTCTTTGCAGTTCTCTGGAATCAAACCCATAATATCTCTGAGATATGCCTATAATTTGCAGAGTATGAAATGCTCAGATTGTAAGAGTGGCTACTCATTAATTCAACAAACTATTTGAGTACCTATACTGTATTTGAGTACCTATACCTCTTAGGAGTTGGGGATAAAGTGGCAAACAACAAAATCCTCTCACAAAACCTATAGGGACATAAACAGTTATGGCATTTTTCAGTAACTGCGAAGTAACAGTCCCATATAATCAGCTTAACTACATTACAAGAATAAAAATGACTCTGCTAATATTGTGTGAACTCTATATACCCAATTCCAAAGTACATACAGGCTCTTTACTGTTATCACATAATGTACTTTACTGAATCCTATTATTTTGCTTAACCTCTGAAGTATCTTGATAGCTATGGCTATTTTTTTTAAAATGAATCAATTAATAATATTGCTAAATAAAAATTTGTTAGAATTGACCAACTGCTTTCTCATGTCAGTAGATCTGCCTGGTTGCTTCTTTGCTGTGTCACTTAAGAGTTTATTTTATTCACTAAATTCCTATAAACTGCTAGTTACAAATAGAGACTTGATTTAATATGGGCTCTCTGTTTTTTTTGGACAGGAAGTTCTTTATTGGTGCTATTACCACTGTTGCATCAAGCCAAAAGGTACACAATAACTGGTTGTCCCATCTTCAATCAGTAGGTTTAGATTTCTACATTATAAAATTTCCCATTAACCTACCATCTAATGGTTTTCACATACAAGAATTACTGCTGTCCATATTCATTACTTCATTAAAATTTTCGAACTTTTTTTTTTTTTTTGAGACGGAGTTTCGCTCGTTACCCAGGCTGGAGTGCAATGGCGTGATCTCGGCTCACTGCAACCTCCGCCTGCTGAGTTTAGAAAATTCTCCTGCCTCAGTCTTCTGAATAACTGGGATTACAGGCGCACACCACCATGCCCTGCTAATTTTTTGTATTTTTAGTAGAGATGGGGTTTCACCATGTTGACCAGGATGGTCTCGATCTCTTGACCTTGTGATCCACCCGTCTCGGCCTTGAACTTTTTTTTTTAAAGTCTATCATTTCTTTTGCACCTTTTAACTGGAAATTTTCCTAAGAATTTTCCCTCAGTTGGAGAGATCCAAGATGGCTGACCACTAGCAGCTCAGGCTTGTAGCTCCCAGTGAAAGCGCAGAGAACTAGAGGACGCCACACTTTCAGACCAGTTCTTCTTGCTCAAGGACCAGGAGATTCCCAGCGGAGGAGCCCCACAGGTCGCCAACGCGACTCTTGCAGTAGGCGCTGCGGTTTTGCCAGTGCCCCAGCACAGCGGTTCTTGGTGCAGAGTAAACAGGACTGGTTCCCCTTTTGGCCAATGTTTGGAGCTGACTGAAGAAGGGATTCAGGAGGGAAGCCAGATGGGAGACTCCCAGACAGAAAAGCACCAAGAATCTTGATGCCGCTGTTTTAGCCGGTGCAGTGGGTTGCTCAGATTTCGGCCCTGGGAATTAACAAGTTGCACGTCCACTAAGAGACCTAATTTGAAAATTGGTAATTACAAAGACAACAGGTGGATAAATTTACAATGATGGGAAGAAACCACCGTAAAAAGGCTGAGAATACTCAAAATCAGAATGCCTCTCCCTCTACAGGGGATCACAGTTCCTCATCAACAGGGGAACAAGGCCTGATGGAAAACGAGTGCATTCCATTAACAGAATCAGGCTTCAGAAGGTGGATAATAAGAAACTTCTGTGAGTTAAAAGAACATGTTCTAACCCAATGTCAAGAAAGTAAGAACTTTGAAAAAAGATTTGACGAAATTCTAACGAGAATAGACAATTTAGAGAGGAATATAAGTGAATTAATGGAACTGAAGAATACTATACGAGAACTCCCGAGAAGTATGCACAGGTTTTAACACTCGAATTGATCAAGCAGAAGAAACGATATCAGAGGTCGAAGACCAACCTAATGAAATGAAACGAGAAGACAAGATTAGAGAAGAAAAAGTAAAAAGGAATGAGCAAAGTCTCCAAGAAATATGGGACTGTGTGAAAAGACCTAATTTACGTTTGATAGGTGTACCTGAATGTCATGAAGAGAATGAATCCAAGCTGGAAAATATTCTTCAGGATATTATTCAGGAAAACATTCCTAACCTAGTAAGGTAGGACAATACTCATCTCCAGGTAATAAAGAGAACACCACAAAGATATTGCTCAAGTAGAGCAACCCCAAGACACATAATTGTTAGATTCACCAGGGTTGAAATAAAGGAGAAAATTCTAAGGGCAGCTAGAGAGAAAGGTTAGGTTACCCATAAAGGGAAGTCTATCAGACTTACAGCAGATCTCTCAGCAGAAACCCTACAAGCTAGAATAGAGTGGGGGTTAATATTCAATATCCTCAAAGAAAAGAATTTCCAACCCAGAATCTCATATACAGCCAAACTAAGCTTTATAAATGAAGGAAAAATAAAATTTTTCATGAACAAGCAAGCACTCAGAGATTTCATCACCACCAGGCCTGCTTTACAAGAGCTTCTGAAAGAAGCATTACACACAGAAAGGAACAACCAGTATCAGTCATCCCAAAAACTTACCAAAAGATAAAGAGTGTTTCCATAATGAAGTATTTATATCAATTAATGGGCAAAATAGCCATCCAGCATTAAATGACAATATTAAACTCACAAATATCAATATTAATCCTGAATTTAAATGGATTAAACGCCACAATCAAAGACACTGACACGCAAACCGAATAAAAAGTCAAAACACATCGGCACTCTGTATCCAGATCCATCTCACAAGCAAGGACACACAAAGACTCAAAACAAAAGGTTGGAGGAAGACTCACCAATCAAATGGAGAGGAAAGAAAAACAAAACAAACAAAAAACAGGAGTTGTAACTTTTGTCTCTAACAAGATAGACTACAATAGTAACCAAGACTAAAAGAAACAAAGAAGGACATTACATAATGATAAAAAGATCAATGCAACAATAGGAGTCAATGATCATAAATATATATGTACCCAATATAGGGGCACCCAGATACATAAGACAAGTTTTCAATGACATATAAAGAGACTTGGACGCCCACACTAATAGCGGGAGACTTTGACACCACATTGTTAATATTCGATGGATCAACGAGATAGAAAATTAACAAGATATTTATGATTTGAACTCAGACCTGGAACAAGTAAACTCAGTGAATATTTATAGAATTCTACACCCCAGGTCCACAGAACATACATTTTTTTTTTTAGCATCACATTACACCTGTTTTGAAAGTGACCACATAAATGGAAGCAAATCACTCTTCATCACTTGCATAGCATTTCACAGATTTAAACGAAATATTGGCTGGCTGTTTGTTATTTTCTTTCCTTATTCCTTCCTGTCTCCGCTGTTAAGCACAATCATCAGCATAAAAGAGGTTTTTAATACCTATTTCTGATTGCATTCCAGCCTGGGCAATAGAGCAAGACTCTGTTCTCTCTCCCCCTTTTCTCTTTCTTTCTTTAAAAAAAAAAAAAAAAGAATTTTCCCTCAGTTACTTGGCTGCCTAAAATACAGTTCAAAATGAGAATGGCAGAATAAATACTGTAATTCTCTCTTTTACCAACCCTCAGAGTAAGAAACTGATGACCTAGCAAACTCTGATGGTAACCAATGAGTTTTTCTGTCTTCTAATATTCTTTTAATAGCTTTTCATCTTTTTGTAGATGACAAGATTATGGCCCAAACCAAAACACAATACTTAGTAGTTACTGATGAACTGAAGCTTACTTTACAATCACATATCACAGAAAGGATAACTACCATTACTGATATTTTCTTTGTCTTAGTAATTATTCCTCACTATAGTCACAGAGAATTGAAAACTTTTTTGTAAGTGAGCATCTCATATACAAGGTGTCTTACAGAAATTTATAAGAAATGAGTATTAAGAAAAAATTATACATAGGTTTCAAAACTTTTTGGACCAAAATAAAACATGTACTAAGCTGTTATAACCTGTCTGAACAGAACCTAGTTTGAAACACTAAGAAGGATAAGACATCACTTTGAAAACAGCCTCTACCAGAGCAACATGAATTCTGCTAAAACTGAAGCAAGAACACACATCAAATTTATGGTGAGGCTTGAGTGGAAGAATCATGAAATCACTGATGCTTTATGAAAAGTTTATGGGAAGAATGCCCTAAAGAAGGCAGCAGTTTACAAATGGGTTACTTGTTTTAAGAAGACAAGACTATGTTAAAGATAAAGCCTGCAGCAGCGGATCATCCACATCAATTTACAAGGAAAAAAATTCATTTCGTTTGTAACCTAATTGAAGAGGCCCAGTGATTAACAACAGAAACAATCACCAACACTATAGGCATCTCAACTGGTTCAGCTTGAACAATTCCGACTGAAAAATTAAAGTTGAGTCAACTTTCTACTTGTTGTGTGCCAAAACCACTACATCCAGATCAGCTGCAAAAAGCAGAGCTTTCAACAGAAATTTTCAATAAGCAGGAAGAAGATACTAAAGCATTATTTCCAGTATAATCCTGAAAACAATAAAGCACAATTAAGGCAATGGCTACCAAGAGGCAGAATTAGTTCAGTCAAAGCAAAAGTGACAGGTGAAGAGCAAAGATCATGGCAATAGTTTTCTGGGATGCTCAAGGCATTTTGCTGTTGACTTTCTAGAGAAACAAAGAATGATGATATGTGCTTATTATAAGAGTGTTTTGAGAAAATTAGCCAAAGCTTCAGCAGAAAAATGCCCAGGAAAGCTTCACCAGATTCGATCTGCACCACAGCAATGCTTCTGCTCATTCTTCTCATCAGAAAAGAGCAATTTTGCAAAAGTTTTGATGGGAAATCATCAGGTGTCCATCTTACAGTCCAGATTTGGCTCCTTTGGACTTCTTTTTGTTTCCTAATCTTAAAAAAAAGTGTTTAAAAAGTACGCATTTTTCTTCAGTTAATAATGTAAAGATTGCATTGATATGGTTCAATTCCCAAGACCCTCAATTCTTTAGGGATGGACTAAATGGTTGATATCATTTACAAGTGTCTTGAATTTGACAGAACTTATATTGAGAAGTTTATATTTTTTATTATCTTTTAATTCCAATTTTCCACAAACTTTCTGAAGTCCCCTCATATATCACTGAGCCAGAACTGGAAGGTTAACTGGTTTTTCTTAGGGGTAAGAGAGTTCCCCTCATTTCAAGGCAACCAGTATAAATAACAAAGAAAGATAGGCTAAGCTAGGTTTAGAAACCTGAATTATTAAAAAAAAAAAACAACTAACCTGGGTCCATTTATGGTTATCACTTGTTATTGAATGTACATCACAAATTAAAGTCTAGAAGAAATAAAAATTTTTAAAAAATTCATTAATCTGTGCACAAACATATGAAGACATTCCATAAATAAAACTCCCAACTAAAATCTAAAATAGTATTTGTTAATTAAACATCCTTACCTGCATAGTTGGACGTAAGAGAATGTGCCGACTTTGGTAACCAGGAGATTTCATATTACTGGACTGCCTATAGTCACGTATTTCTGCTATGACACATCCGCAATGAAAAATGTTAACCTGTTTGAGTAAAGATATGTGAGTACCATTTTTTTCAAATGAGTAGGTTTATATTGAACATTTCACATTCCTTACACTCATGTGATATTTCTGGCCACTCATGTATGCATACTTCAATAGATTTCCTTGGTAGATTTAACACTATATAAACTTTTTCAGAGAAAGTATTTTATGTTCATCACTATGACACAAGCAGCAATTTAAAACTATTTAAAACTATTTAATAGCTTCTAGTTATAGACTGACTTGGCATCTACTGAGTCAACAGTTTGACTTTTGGCATTGACATACTACTATGATGCTACACATCCTTGGAACTGATGTTCTTCTGAAGCTCACTGACTTACTGTTACATTTCGCTAACTCTGTCATTATTACAAAGGTTATCATTGTCATAAATTGCCAATCAACCTTGCCAGCGTTTCAGCTTCTAGATATAACCTCTCTATTTGCTCTGCTAAAATTTCCAGAAATAAAATCTTCGCCCTTAGCCTTTATTTTTATTTATTTATTTTTTTTGAGATGGAATTTCGCTCTTGTTACCTAGACTGGAGTGCAATGGCACGATCTTGGCTCATTGCAACCTCTGCCTCCTGGATTCAGGCAATTCTCCTGCCTCAGCCTCCTGAGTAGCTGTGATTACAGGCACGCGCCACCGTGCCCAGCTAATTTTTTGTATTTTGAGTAGAGACGGGGTTTCACCATGTTGACCAGGATGGTCTCGATCTCTTGACCTCATGATCCACCTGCCTCGGCCTCCCAAAGTGCTGTTATTACAGGCTTGAGCCACCGTGCCCGGCCCCCTTAACCTTTATTAATAAGAGAAAAGCTAAATATAAAATTCAAATGAAAAATAGTTTTTCAGTAATTTCTATGCCCAAATGTAAGAATTCTTGTCACTGAAGTTTTGCTAATTATGACCTGCCACGGTCACTCATAGTATGTTTTTCATCCATTCAGAACTTTTAGTGAGTACTTTGGTCTCCATGTTATAAGTCATACTTATTGTCATTCTTAATAAATATTTACTGAGAAAGTACAATGCGTACTATGTGCTAGGCACTATCCAAGTACAGCTTCACAGATACAGTGGTCAGAAAACATTTGTTCTCAGTTGTGGGAAGACAGGCAATAAACATGTAAATAGATTTCTATTCCATATTTTACTATAATGGAAATATAGTAAATATATTTACTAAATATAAAGTCTATAAAGGAAATAAAATAGGGAAGGGCTAATCTGGATTGTACGTGCAGATAAAAACCTTAGGTTTCACCTAAGATCTGAATCACAAGAAAAGGCCAGAGACATCAGCAACAGATCATTTGATACAGACAAATAACAGATGAAAAGTTGTTACTGTAGGAACAAGCTTGGAGTGTTTTATTGTGGAAATAAACAGGGATGAAATGTAGTGAGTAAGGATGAGATTTAGAAGATGAAGACAAACAGGAAAGCAAGGGTTTTTTGTTCAGAGCACTGGGCTTGACCATGTATCTTAAACAGAGAGCTCGTATTTGTTGGTGAACTGAACGTGGAAGGTGAGGATAGGGTAATCTGTTAGACTGAAGAGACTGGTGACAAAACTGGTTTGGGAGGTAAAATAAAAAGTTCTGTTTTTGCTATTTAAATTTGAGGAACCTATTACATATCCATTAGGATCTTGGTGGAATGGCCATGGTGAAGCATATAAGCAACAGACTAAGTAACATTTAAAAAACCCATGAAACTGGCTGAAATCATTGAGAGAATATTCCTAAAGAAAAATGGAGGGCCAAGAACTGATCTCTGAAAACACAGAGATTATAGTAAAATATGGAACAGAAATTATAGTAAAAAAGACCAAAGGATTAGAGAACGCAGAGGAAAACTAGGAAAATGATGCCCTGGAAGTCAACAGAAAGGCATTTTGAGCAGGATGTAGCTATATCCACTGATTTTGCTAAGAGGCCAATTAAGAAGAGAACAGAAAAGTGACCAGTTATTCAGTATATGGAAATCACTGGTAACTCCGACACAAAAGCAGCCTCTGCAGAATGATGTCATGATGCCAAATGAGATGGATGGTGGAAAGAACGAAATATGAAAAAAAAGGAAATGACTATAAATTCTTTGAGTAGTGTTCCTGACAAGAATAACAAATAATAGAGCAATAGTTGGAGAAGGACATGAGGTCAAGGAAGGATTTTTTTTTTTTTTAATTTGAGACATACAGGTTAAGTATCCCTCACCTGAAATGCTTGAGACCGGAAATGTTTCAGATTTTGAAATACCTGCATTATACTTAGGTTAAGCATCCCTAATCAAAAAAAACTAAAACCTGGAATGTTCCGACTAGCATTTCCTTTAAGTGTTACATCAGTGCTCAGATTTTGGAACACCATGATTTCAAATTTTCAGATTTGAGAAACTCAACCTGTAACACAGTATGCTTGCATTCTGCATTTAGCAGAGAAAGTGAAATAGATAGAAAAAAGAGAGGTTATAATTTTAAGCCCTTGAGAAGGAAGGGAGAATTCAGAAAACAAGTGGAGGGGACGGATGCCTTATGAACAGTATACATCAACTATTTTAACAGGAAGGAAGGCAGATATGGAGAGAGATGTAGGAATGCTAGTCGACTGGTGCTAGGAGGAAACAAGAGTTCTCATGTGATGGCTTCTTTTTCCTCAGTTGAGTACACAGTATGACTGGGGTTAAGTTAAGGCAGCAAGAAGGAAGAAGAACAGAGCAAGGGAGTGCTTACCTAGGCGGGCTATGAAGAGAAGTACAGATGTAAAGGCCAGTTTCTGGCCCCCAAGTGAAAACTTCATAAATATTCAAAGTAGTTTCTTTCATAATTTCTTGATTGTAACTATAGGGAGATTTCCAATTGATGAGCTAATTGTTCTAACTATTTTAGAAGAATCATATAGTCATTTACAACATAAATGTACATATACATCTAATATGACATATATGTATATGTATCATGTACTTACAACAAATATAAAGACATTTTAAAGACAAAAATTTTGCACCTGAGATTTTTCTAGGAGATCAACCAAAATAGGAGGTAATTCTTCTGCATCCAAATATTCAAGCAACTCTCCTTCTTCATAGGGCAGTCGTATGGTCTCAGAATCTTAATTTGAAACATACAGTTTGAAAATTATCAGGCTCACTGAAAGTTTAGCTGTATAATTCAAATGGCTTTTCATAAAATACATACAAAATAAAACCAAAAGGTATTTCAACAAAGCAAGGATTGAAAAAAAATAAAATCAAAAGGCCCTCCTAACAACCATCTTTATTTAAGGGGAGGAAAAAAAAACCTAACACATTATGAAAAAAATTGGGCATAACATCACAATCTGAATCATAGCCCAAAGTAAAATAACCAGAATATGACAAAATTCCAATGTCAAAGTAACTGAAAGTTCACTGAAGACCAATTAATCTAATCTGGAGATCAGAGTGACAATTTGGTGCCTTATCTGAAAAGTGGTCACTTTTAGAACAAAATTCTCTTGGTGTTACACTTTACAATTAATTAGCAACATACACAAAATTCTAGTTATGTGAGTTCCTTGTGGAATTCACATTATCATCATGTCAAATTGTTATGCCTCTTTAGTGAAACGAAAGAGTATTTATATTTTTAAATTACTTCCATATTCACCATTAGCAGAAATTTTCATATTCAATATTAATAAAATATTTTTAATATGTGAAAATTACTCAAAAGGCAGCGAGTCTGCTTAATTTTGAAGATTTCAGATTCATATTCAAACTGCGGGAATATCTACCTTTAAACACAGTATACTATCTTAAAATATAAATAGCAGTAAAAGGAAATAATCATTTATAAGTTATGCTTTTATAATTTTCCTTGTTTTAACATTTCCTTTGGTTCTGAGATGCTTTTGTAATTTGACTTTGAAGATATATCAATTAGAATACTTTTAAAATGCACATTCAGGAAAGCTAATTATATGAGAGATAACTTCTAATATTCTAACAAAACATAAGGAAGAAAACTGGGATCCAAATCTGTTTTTATCACTAAGTCATCACTGAACTGAAGGACAAATGCTTTAGCAGGTTAAAAAACTACTTTAAAAAACAGCACATCCTGCCTGGAAAAGTATTTTGTGGCAGAATGTGCTCTGGAAGGTCTTACCTGATCCATTTTTCCCCCTGAGCATCAGAGAATATCCCTCATTTCCTGGGTATAGATTGACCACTAAACATGACAAAGTCTCTTGCATAACAAGCTTCTCTAACAAGTTCACATTTCTTCTTAATTTCTGCTTTAAAAAGAGGTAGAGCTCATGAAAATAATCCAGTATAACCTTAAAAAATAATGCTATGATTTAACAAAATCAGGCTTGAATTAACCTTTTGGTGCTCTTTCCACATTATGACCCTGAATAAATGGGGAAGCCTCACAAAACTATAGCCACTATGTATGGGACAGCTATGTAAACTTAATTTTTATCTACTACTATGTTTTATGCAAATTAATTTATATTTTAAAAACTGGTGACCTATAAGACAATAAAAACAAATAAGCACTTTTGAATACTTAAGAAATACAAACATTTAAATGAGTAGACTATAAAATCACTAAATGCAAATATATAAAACACGGAAGTATATAGTTGCCATTAAGTGTAAGTCTAACCTAAAGAAATTTGGAGCATTCTTTTGGTTGTATCTAAGAAGTGCACATTTCTTAAATATTTTATAGGCTAAATAAGACAGAAACAAGTTCAAAAGCTCTAAGCTGAAATGCTGAACCTAAAAATATCTAATTGATAAAACAAAGTAAGCAATTTGGATATTTTCTATAAATCCAATTCAACACCTCCTTAAAAACCACAACAAAAATCCATGATTTAAGAAATGTGTATGATTTAAAATAAAACCCACTTATAGGTTTAACAAATCCTTTCATCAAATCCTATTTAGCAAAAATAACAACAGAATATTTTTGCAGAACCTCAAAAAAGGAAATGTTTTGAATATCTTATATACAATATATATTAAACATATAATACACACATACAGAGAGAAGTGATAAATTCTTAATCTGTTATCACCATAGATCAAAACACTAAGCAATCTGAAAAAATTTTTTTTAAAGGTAATCAACTTTTAACCACTTAGATGTTACACTAGTAAAGAGAGACTAAAAATGTTATTTCAGTGTAGAGGAAACCCTCATAATTTGACTTAAGACAGGATTAGATAAATTTTTACAGTATGTGTATCTCTTCAACAAAACAAATGAACTACCACAGAGTTGATCCCATTTAGACTAGAGGGTGCAAATTTTCTTTCTTAATGGGCCAGATAGTATTTGACACTTGTGGGCCAAATAGGCTGTGCTACAATACTCAATTTGCCTTTGTACCTGTAAGGCAGCCCTAGATAATACACAAACCAACAGATGTGATGGGTTCCAACAAAAATTCATTTATAAAAACATGCAGTAGGCCACATTTAGCTGGTGGAGAAGGGCTTGCCAATTCCAATTTAGAATCTTCATATATGTAGCTCTCCTATTTTAGTTCCATCGCTGAAGTGATTGATATGTACATTATACTGATTGTAATGATGGTTTCATGGGATGTTTCTATCCATACTGCATATGTCAAAACTTAGAAAATATATACTTTAAACATGTATAATTTATTGTATGTCAAGTATACCTCAGCAAAACTTAGGAAAACATACTACAAGATTTATTTATAAGTTGCCAGGCATGGTGCCTCATGCCTGTAATCCCAGTACTTTGGGAGGCTGAGGTGGGTGGATCAAGAGGTCAGGAGATCGAGACCATTCTGGCTAACACAGTGAAAAACCCTGTCTCTACTAAAAATACAAAAAACTAGTCAGGCATTAGTCAGGTAGCACACGCCTGTAGTCCCAGATACTCTGGAGGCTGAGGCAGGAGAATCACTTGGACCCAGGAAGCGAAGGTTGCAGTGAGTCAAGATCTCACCACTGCACTCCAGCCTAGGCAACAGAGTGAAACTGTCTCAATTAAAACAGTAAAATAAAAAAGATTTATTTATAAGTTTAAAAATAATTTTTTTCCTAATGTAAAGATTTTAAAGTTAGACACTACTGGAATTCCACTGTTTTTGGCCTAAATAGTAAAACTGTATTCATTTCTAAAGACAGACAACAAAAGCTCATAGAGACCTTTAAGGCCCTTCCAACCTGAGGGCTCAAAGACATCAATAAATCAACTTCTGTTACATTTCTACTACCCATATCTTTATGCCAAATAAAAATGAATTAAGTTAAATTGGCCATGAACTCATTTTATGCCAAGTTCACCTTTTATTACTGTACTTGAACTTCCTACATGTCCTGTAATAACTTGCTCCCCAGTTCAAATCATCATGAGAAAACAGGTTACTTTTCTCTTCCTATAAGTTTATAAATTACTTCTTATGGGGAAGAAGCAGCAAAAGATAATATATACTGTGGCTTTGTTGATGACTTCCTAGTAAGACAGTCTGTTAATAAACCATTCCTCCACTCCTACCTCAGCAGGTGATCTCTGCCTGGTGCCAGATTAGCCAGAGCTCTGGGTCAGCTGTAGAACTGACTAGAGTCTGGTTAAAAAAGATGTTAGTACACACACACGCAATAATGAAATGCTCCAAATGTAACTCCTCTGAATTCCCCTCTTCTACATTTCAAAAGCTACAACACAATAAAAATGTACACTTACCTTAACCTCAGGTTCTTTTTCACATTCTTCAATATACAAGTCATAAAGTTTTTGAAATACAGATTTTCTAAAAAAATTTAATAAAACAAACATACAAAATGTTAAGACAGTAATCATCATGACATGAATGTTATTTAATTTTTTCCTAAATATTAACATTTTTTCCTCAATTTCCCAAAAGCAGGGGTGGAGCTGGATATGGTAGCTAACATCAACTCAGAAATTTCTAATACATGCAAATAACCTATAAGATTTCTAGCTCAGTGCCAACCAGGAATGTGATAAATGGTAGCTATCATCATATTTCAATGAATCTAAGATGTTACCAATTAATTATTCATACCTTCCACTTGATAGGTATTTCCTTTTAGGAGGTCTTTGTCGGGCACTTTCAATGACATACTAAAAAACAAAAATTTATGAGAATAGCTTGTCTTTTGCTTTTGAGTATTAACAACTGTATTGAGTATAACTAAAACATACGTAAGGCCAAAAAGGCTATTCAGCCACTTAAGTCTCTGAATTACATTTTGCAGGAAAAACTACTTAACATCTAAATATAAATTTCAAACAAATGAAATTTAAACTGCCTTATGATTTAGCAGTTTTCATTGCCATAAGCAAAACCATAGTTTCACAACCATGATTTCACAGGTCAGAAATATTCTCAATATATTTTCTGGTTGTTCAAAATATGCTTAATGTATGAAAAATCGTATACTGTACACCTTAGCTATTTTTTCCTTTGAGTAATTAGAAAAACTGTCAAAACAGGAAAAGGCAATTTAGAAATTCTATATTCTTGTTCAAGTTTTGTTCTATAGCATTATTACCTTGAGGATTCCAAGTAACAGGTGATCCAAATATCACCTGGTATTTTTACATATTTATAGCAAAATGATATGCATACTTGTCCTAAAATAATAAATAATAATGTGCTCCTTTAAAAATCACATACAAAAATCTCTTAAAACTGAGCTTTTGCCAAAGACAACACTATTTCAATATGTAACTTAGTCACACCTCACCTCTGCACGATCCAAAGCTAGTTCTAAAGCTTGTTGCTGTAAAAAGTAAATAGTATATTTGGTAATATTAGTTATTTCCACAAAAAATAATTTAATACACATTTAACATTTCTAATGTTTTTTAAAACAGGTCTAATATATTTTCTTTTATTTGTCTCCTCCACTCCACTCTATGATCCACATATATAACAAAGAAAATATATGAGTCTTGGGCACTTGATTATCAACCACAAACTAATTAAGAATGTAATATGGTCTCTCCAGTCAGTGCTTGTGAGGCTAACATAGAGGAGGTTTGGATATGGCAGCTATCATCACTTCACAGACTTTAATTTTTAATAGCACCATTCAAAGAAATATATTGGCCATAAAGTACACAATTAAAGTGAAGCAAAAACTAAACTCTCCTAATCTGCTAAAAATCCTGAAAATCGGGAGTAGGGTTATAGTAGCACTAAACATCAACTTTGATGGCTATTATTGCCATGTTTTGATGAATTTAAGATGCCATTGAAAGCTCATTATTTTGCATAACATTAAGACAGAAAAAAATGCTGTCAATTGTTAAGACATCCTTGAGTATCAAATCATCATCAATTTGCAATGTAAAAATATAAAAGAGCGTGAACTTCAGAATTGATGAAACATAGTACTACATGTAAGGTTTAAGACCTACTAGTAGGTTCCTCTCCATCCATTTCTTAGAGATAAGGAAAAAATATGATGAAGCTATGCTATGTCTTCATTTGTAAAGCTTTCTTTTCTAAAGACACATATGAATAAAACTACTAGGTTCTAAACAAAATTAAACAAATATAGCCAGGCGTGGTGGCTCGCGCGTATAATCCCAGCACTTCGGGAGGCCAAGATGGCCAGATCACCTGAGGTCAGCATTTCAAGACCACCCTGGCCAACATGGTTAAACCCCGTCTCTACTAAAAATACAAAATTAGCTGGGTGTGATGGTGCATGCCTGTAATCCCAGCTACTTAAGAGGCTGAGGTAGGAGAATCACTTGAACTCGGGAGACAAAGGTGGCAGTGAGTCGAGATCGCACTATTGCACCCCAGCCTGGGCAAAAAGAGCAAAACGCCATCTCAAAACATAAAAACAAAAAATAAAACCCCAAATATACTACCAGCGATTCTTTTCCTAGTTTTTTGTTTTACAGTATTTTTCATTTACAATGATAGTCATTTAAAAATTTTATTTAGAAGCACAGAACTTTCCGTTTTTATTTAAAAGAACCTAAATTCTTGTCTTATTTTGCAGATTCCAATACCTCAACCTACCAAGTTGCATGTGGGTAAAAACTCCTACTATCCACCAAAGTCCCAGGAGGGTAGGGGGAAGAACAAATATTGTCACCCTCTGAAAATCATGGGAACTTAAGTGACCCTGCCACCTAGTCTTAAGGATCGAGAATTTGTATGATTCCAAAAATAGTGGGCTTCTTTGCACTGTTCAATAAAATACAACCCGTATTATCACTATCTAAATATGATAAGTGAAGAAAGCCTGAAATCTGCCATCTTTTCAAAAGATTCAGTTATAATAAATCTACACCAATTTGCTTTATTAAAAATCTTGGCCAGGCACTGTGGCACATGCCTGTAATCCTAAAGCTTTGGAAGGCCAAGGAGGGGAGCCAGGAGTTTGAGACTAGCCTGGACAATATAGTGAGATTCTGTTTCTACCAAAAAAAAAAAAAAAATCTTTTAAGGAGCAGATTCCCAGTGAAGTGAAGCTGGTTCCCAGGATTCAAATTAAGATTCCTGAATATAACTTATTTTCCACCGTGAAAACATAATTCTGTACATATACACTTCACAAATACATAAGGTTCTTTAACATTTTGGCCATAAAACTTTAAGTTTGGATCAAAAAATTATAATAAACACAATCAAATATATACTTTGAGACAATTTTAAACAGCCAGTCATCTCCAGTAAATACTTCATCTTCTGAAATTAAAACTTCAAAGGGTCTAGTGAGATATGCCTACATTTATAAACAAAAGCATTATTCATTCATTACCTCCTTCAAAAACTTAAGAGGAATATATGATTAGGTAATACAGATGTAAAACAGAAGGTGTGGTCAGAATCCCACTGTGGTTATTTCTACTTTTCTCTAATAGAGGAGGAGTAGGTAGGTAAGAACCCAAGAGTAGAAGAAAAATAAATGTTTTTTAAAATTTGTGCCACAGAACAGGGGTTATCTAAATGAACAACATGGTGGTCAATGTTCAGTAATTCTCTCTCAAATGCTGCTTCTTCTTTAAAACATTAAAAGGTGTTTTTATCCCTTAGTCTGTCATTTCTTAATGGAAAAAGTTAAATCCCTACTCTTAAGTATGTTTAGTGACTGTAGGTCAGTGAACAGAAACATGCCATTAGAAGATTAGTATTGATGCTGCCTGAAATGTTATGTGCAGTAAGCAGATTATATTTGTTTTTAAATTTTAATAAAATCTAAAGAAAAGCTTTAAAATATGAGAAATCTATATTCCCCCAAACTATTTGTATTTATACCCATCTCCTTGTCAATGACTTGGAATATGGCAAAACAGACAGAAGTAAATACTTTTAATACTTTGTAAAATACAAGAACAGATACATGGATTATCTGTGTAATGTGAATGTGATAATTATAACAGATTAGTGAGCCACATACTTTAAAGAGAAGATTTTGCAATGTGATTGCTAAGTAGCTTCCCAGTTGGGATAACCTATACAACTTACAAGAGTATTTCTACATCTATAATACAAATATCTTTATGAAGATGAAGGAAGAGAACATTCTAAAACACAAATTTGAACATACTAAGCTGAAGCTTACCATTGTGGCATAAAATAGGGGTCCAAAAGAAGAGACAACTTATGTAGGTTGATGCAGTGGGGTAAACACCATGTCTTTAACATCAATCTTATAGTACTGCAAAATAAATACCCAAAATTAACATAAGATTATTAAGAGAAAAAAATGAGATTACATATTTAGTAACAAGGAAAATTACTTGAGGCACATATATTTTTAATACACTTTTAAATAATTTGTAACACTAAAATTCATGTACCACAACCTATCCGCTCACTGCTGAAAAGTAGTTATAACTAGGTAGGGCAAAACACATTTGCAAGTTAAAATTATTACTCTCTTTCTTCAAAAATATTTAACATCCCCAGAAAGAAAAAAATACATTTTTAAAATCTCTTCTCTATCGTCATTGTTGCTGTTCTTTTTCCTCTGAATTATTTTAATAGCCTGCCCACTGGCCTTAATCACTATACAGTTCACTTTACAAATCACAGATATAATCATGTCTGCTGATTAAAAAAAAACCTCTTATTAATAAGAGAAGATGCAAACAAATGGGAAAACAATTCATGCTCATGAATAGGAAGACTCAATATCATGAAAATGACCATATTGCCCAAAGTATTTATAGATTCAATGCCATTCATACCAAGCTACCATTGACTTTCTTCACAGAACTAGAAAAAACTACTTTAAATTTCATATGGAACCAAAAAAGTGCTTGTATAGTCAAGATAATCCTAAGCAAAAAGAACAAAGCTGGAGGCATCATGCTACCTCACTTCAAACTATAGTACAATGCTACAGTAACCGAAACAATATGGTACTGGTACCAAAACAGATATGTAGAGCAATGGAACAGAATACAGGCCTTAGAAATAACACCACACATCTACAACCATTTGATCTTTGACAAACCTGACAAAAACAAGCAATGGGGAAAGGACTGCCTATTTAATTAACGGTGTTGGGAAAACTGGCTGGCCATATACGGAAAACAGAAACTGGATCCCTTCCTTACACCTTATACAAAAATGGATTAAAGACTTAAATGTAAAACCTAAAACCATAAAAACCCTAGAAAACCTAGGCAATACCACTCAGGACATAGGCATGGGGAAAGACTTCATGACTAAAACTGAAAGCAACTGCAACAAAAGCCAAAATTGACAAATGGGGTCTAATTAAACAATACAGCTTCTGCTCAGCAAAAGAAACTATCATTAAAGTGAACAGGCAATCTACAGAATGAGAGAAAATTTTTTCAATCTATCCATCTGACAAGGGTCTAACATCCAGAATCTACAAGGAACTTAAATTTTCAAGAAAAAAATCAACAACCTGGTCAAAAAGTGGGCAAAGAATATGAACAGACACTTCTCAAAAGAAGACCTTTTGAACATGAAAAAAATGCTCATTATCACTGGTCGTTAGAGAAATGCAAATCAAAACCACAATGAGATACCATCTCACACCAATAAGAATGGCAATCATTGAAATGTCTGGAAACAACAGATGCTGGTGAGGCTGCGGAGAAATAGGAACACTTTTACACTGTTGATGGGAGTGTAAATTAGTTCAACCACTGTGGAAGACAGTATGGCAATTCCTCAAGGATCTAGAACCAGAAATACCATTTGACCCAGCAATCCCATTAATGGGTATATACCCAAAGGATTATAAATCATTCTACATAAAGATATATGCACACGTATATTTACTAAAGCAATATTTACAATAGCAAAGACTTGGAACCAACCTAAATGCCCATCAATGACAGACTAGATAAAGAAAATGTGGCACACATACACTATGCAGCCATAAAAAAGAATGAATTCATTTCCTTTGCAGAGACATGAATGAAGCTGGAAACCATCATCCTCAGCAAACTAACACAGGAACAGAAAACCAAATACCACATATTCTCACTCGTAAGTGGGAGTTGAACAATGAGAACACATGGAGACGGGAGGGGACTATCACACACTGAGGCCTGTTGTGGGGTGGGAGGTAAGGGAAGGGAGAGCATTAGAACAAATACTTAATGCATGCAGGGCTTAAAACCTAGATGACGGGTTGATAAGTACAGCAAACCACCAAAGCACATGTATACCTATATAACAACAAACCTGCATGTTCTGCACATGTATCCCAGAACCTAATTAAAAAAAAAAAAAAAATACATTCTTCAGCCTATTTGATTAAAAAAAACAACAAAAAACCTCACTCCTTGGGTACATGTGTTTTTAATATTCTGTGGAAAGAGAAGGGAATTATAAACCATTTCTGAATACTAAATTATGATGGTTTTTACCAAGGCACTTGTGTATTTTTTAGTTGCAAACGAATCCGTTGCCTTTTCCATTTCTACTTGAAAAAATAACTGATGAGCAAATTATAGATATTCAGACTTAAGTATTTGGTACTTGTCTTAAAAATAACAAAGTAAGCCCATCAAGAAAAATAGCTTCCCATATTTACTGCTAATAATAAAATTTGAACCCATAAGGTTATAATTTCAAGGGACTTTTGACTGCTTTCTATTATTTAAAGGCTTCTTCTGATGAGATTGCTGGGGATATTGACAAATTGATTTTTTGATATTGTTTAGTAAAATGTACTGACATTTAAAGATCTTTGTAACACTGATAACTTAATTTTCCAAATGACCAATGAATGATGTTTCAAAATTATGCATAGGTAAAGACTGAGTCAAAGTTGCAGGGAGACAAATGGATTTTAAACTAACAGAATATAAAGTTCACTGATAAAATTTCAAATTCACATTGCAACTTAACTTTGAAAAACAATCATGTTTTGAGTTTTGTTCAGTGTCAAAAATAAGGTGTACACTCATCTAAAATGATTACTAAAATTCTGATGTCTTAAAAAATAAAAATAAAATAAAATCTCATGGATGCATAGCTTAACAGAAACATAAATCTCTATAAAGGAAAAAAGTTAAAATTGGTATGTAGTATGATACTTTCAGCTATTTACTGTGTACTGCATTAAGAGAAACAAGAAAAATAATTCATCAGATAAAATATTATTTTTGTAGGAGTAACCCCATAATGCTAATTTTTCAGTCACAAAAAGATTTCCAAACTTCTCAAAGACACTTAAAAAAAATTTACAGTTTCTTTGTATTTAAAAGAGTAACTTGAATTAATTTTCAAGACAGCAACTCAGAGATCTAACATGAGATAAGTAGCCAACTCAACATGACTTCTGAGATCTAATCTCAAGAAATGTGTGTATTTTTAAATAATTTTTTAAAATTAGCATTTTGTTATAATTGCATACTCACATGTAGTTGTAATTAATAATATTTATGTACTTTTTTACCCCATTTTCCCCAAAAGTAATATCTTGCAAAGGTGTTGTAAAAGCAATTAACTTCAAAACTATGATATAATATCACAACCAGGATACTAACATTGATACAGTCAAAATATAGAATATTTCTATCACTACAATGATCCATCCTGTTGCTCTTTTATAGCTATGCCTGCTTCCTCCCCTCTCTCTTTCTCCTTAATCCCTTACAACCACTAATCTAATCTCCCTTTCTATAATTTTGGCATTTAGACAATATCATATATTCCTATTAATGGAATAATGCAGTTGTAACTTTTTGGATTGGCTTCTTTCATGCAGCATAATTCTCTGGACATTCATCCAAGTTATTATATATGTCAGTAGTTCCTTTTTTATTGCTTCATAGAATTTTGTGGTGTGATGTTTAAGAATTTGTTTAACAATTTACTTGTTGAAAGATACTTAGCTTGTTTCTGGTTTTTGCCTAGTAGGAAAAAAGTTGTCAGTCATGTATTTAAAAAAAAAAAAATTTCGGCTGGGTGCTGTGACTCACACCTGTAATTCCAGAACTTTGGGAGACTGAAGCCCCCAGATCACGGGGTCAGGAGTCTGAGACTAGCCTGACCAATATGATGAAACCCTGTCTCTACTAAAAACACAAAAAATTAGCCGGCTGTGGTGCCACGAGCCTGTAGGTAGTCCCAGCTACTCAAGAGGCTGAGGCAGGAGAATCACTTGAACCTGGGAGGTGGAGGTTGCAGTGAGCTGAGATCACTGCACTCAAGCCTGGGCAACAAGCGGGGCGACACTCTCAAAAACAAAAAATCATTTTAATTAGCATCCTCCAAATGCCCTAGGTTACATATTCCAGATGCAGCTCCAATCCCACCAGCCCATCTCCTCTTCAAGCAAACTATGCAGTCTTTTAAACCTTTTTTGTAACAACAGGAGCTCTCATCCTGGCTGCACAAGAGTAACTTATGGAGCTTCAAACAGAGATGCCTGTGATCCACCAGCTTGAGACTGATTATCTAGATTGAGGCACAGGGACCCAATTCCCCCTGCCATTTTTGGAGCCCCCCGGTTGACTCAAACGTGCTGCCAGGGTTGAAGCTCACGCTGCTTGGTACAGAGATGGTGCATAACATTTGCTCTGAGATTAGACTGGGCATGGTGGCTCACACCTGTAACCCCAGCACTTTGGGAGGCCCAGGTGGGAGGATCATCTAAGCTCAGGAGTTTGAGATCAGCCTGGGCAACATAGTGAGATCTTGTCACTACTAAGGGAAGAAAAAAAATTAGTCTAGCATGGTGGCACACGTCTGTAGTCCCAGCTACTCAGGAGGCTGAGCCAGGAGGATCACCGGAGCCTTAAAACCAGAGGCTGCAGTGAGCCATCATCACACCACTGTACTCCAGCCTGGGTAACAGAGCAAGACCCTGTCTCAATAAAATAAAAATGAATAGAAAACATATACTCTGAGAGTGATGATAAATAAAAATTATTAATCTATTCACCTAACCTGTTGTAACCAGTGAAGCTGGGTGTCTACACAGCTAAAAAACAACTTCTGATGACAGAAAACAAGATTTTCCAGGTAAAACAGTTTTGCTTTGATTTTCAGTGAGCCCCAAAGCTTTGGTTTTTGCCAGATTAAAAAAAAAAACAAAACTGAAAGGGCAAGGTGGGGTGTGGCTCACAACAGTTGAGAGGGACGGAGGCTGCCGGATGGCATGAGCCCAGGAGCAGTAGTTCCAGACCTGCCTGAGTAACATGGGGAAACTGTCTCTACAAAAACATACAGAAGGTGAGGTGCAGTGGCTCAAGTCTGTAATCTCAGCACTTTGGGAGGCCAAGGCAGGTGGATCACTTCAGCCCTGAAGTTCCAGACCTAGCCTGGGCAACATGGCAAAACCACCCTCTCTACCAAAAACAAAAATCAGCCGGGTGTGGTGCATCACACCTGTAATCCCAGCTACTTAGGAGGCTGAGGCATGAGAATCGCTTGAACCTGGGAGGTGGAGGTTGCAGTGAGCCGAGATCTCGAACTACACTCCAACTGGGCGACAGAGCGAGACTGTCTCCAAAAAAAAAAAAAAAAAAAAAAAACTGGCTGAGCAGGGTGGCTCACGCCTGTAAGGGAGACGGAGGCGAATGGATCATTTGAGGTCAGGAGTTCCAGACCAGCTTGACCAACAATGATGAAACCCAGTCTCTACTAAAAAAAATACAAAATTAGCCGGGTGTGGTGGCCCACGCCTGTAATCCCAGCTATTCGGAAGGCTGAGGCAGGAGACTCTCTTGAACTCTGGAGGACAAGGTTGCAGTAAGCCGGGATCGCGCCACTGCACTCCAGTCTGAGCAACAAGAGTGAACTCCGTCTTGTGGGGGGCGGGGGGGATTAAACAACTTTTAAAAATGAGCTAAACTCCTAATACAACAAAAGCACCATACAACTATAAATAATTTACAATCATTTACAATGAGTAAGATATTAATCCTACCCTTGAAGAGCTGAGAGGAGTTTTAAGTTGAATTTAGGTTAAGCTGAAAATTTTCTGACCACTGAATTTGAAGATGAAAATACACTATATACTTTTGGACAAAATGTGGTGACTTTTAAAATTAAGATTTCTTGTCACAAAATTGGGGATGGGGGATTAATAACGTTAAAATATTTAAGTACTTCAGACAAAAACTAATAACTTCATAATCTCTCGCAAAGCAAATATCCTGACTGTATACAGAATATATCAGAATCTGCGAGAAAACTGTAATCATTATCATCTCCGTTTTACAGAATAAGGCAATCAGAACAACTGATTTCCTAACAGCACAGACCTAGACCAGAATTCAGAACTCTCAATGTCCAATCTTAGGTCCCTTCCAATATTACAATCTTAAAACGAATCAAACCAGTACTCGTTTTCACATTCTTTTTTTTTTAAAGCAAAGCATTTAAAATAAGGACCCAATTCTGCTCAGAGACGAGTATGTGTTTAATTTTGGTCTAACTTTATACCATGGTGATCAACCCAAATACTCTGTACTCAGTTTAACTCCGAAAACCCAGCTCATCACTTCATATTTTGAGTCCTGTAGAGACTCTGATGCATTGCACTCGGGAAGACGCGCTGGTTACGGGAGATAGCTTCCAGGACAGCTGTTCTCCAAGTTCATTTCTGAGCTCCCGGTAACCATGGCCAGTAATTAATCCAATTTTAAACGCTGCTATCAATTCTGATTGCCCTCATCGACCTGAGTCTTCCAACTGCAGGGGCTTTTTGTCACAACTTAGGCTTTACGTGTAAAACCGTCATCTCCACAGAGGAGCAACCAGCCTTTATGCAATATGGACACCAAGGAAACCGCCTTCGAAGATGCGCAAGGCAAAATTCTTGCAAGTGTCCGGAAATGCCCGTATCTAAAACCCAAAAATCAAACTAAAATGAAAAGTTCGGCTCAGCCACAGCACGAAAGGCGACGGAGGCGTCCGCCCGGAGAGTGGCTGCCTTGACCCCCGCCCCGGCCCGCCGGGTCTCTGGGGACCTCATCTTCCTCCAGCGGGCTCTGGGACGCGGCCCGCTCACCTCTGACCCTGGCCGGATCTCGCGGTCTAAGCCACCGCGTTGCCAGCCGCTCGCCGGTCCCACTCACCTGCCGCCGCCGACCACCTCTGTGGGTCGCCCCGCCGCTAGGCCTTAAGACGGCTCCGCCAGCTCCGCCGCAACGCTCACCCGCCCCTTCGGCGGCGCGATGCTACACCCCCACCAACGGCCTGTTCCGGTGGCCGCACTTCCGAGTGGCGGACTGGGCTGGGGGGGCGGGAAATGCGGGCGGAAGGGGAGGAGCCTGGAGGGCGGGGCCGCGACCGGGAGCTTCAAGCCCTGCGTTTCGCGCCAGACTCCAGAGAGGTAGGGCCTAGGAACTCTGCTCAGGCCCGGAGGCAGAGTCTGCAAAGTGGGAGGGACGGTGTAGAAAAGATTTTGGGGAAGAGAGACCCTGTTGAATTTCTAGAGTGAAAGAAACGTAGAACTAGCTTTTCTTTTTGCTTAGCACATCCGAATGGAAAAACAGCGACACTGTTACCCGCATTTACGGGTCCAATGCAATGCGTACAACCTTCTGTAGTATATCAACTGCCAATTAGTTTAATGTTTTTTAAAAATCACCGCAGAGAAGGGTTCTAAAAATTGAGAAACTGCATTACCAGCACACATTGTAAGGTTTGTTTTGTTTTGTTTGTTTATTTTTGAGACAGAGTCTCGCTCTGTCGCGCACGCCAGAGTGGAATGGTGAAATCTCGGCTCACTGCAACCTCCGCCTCCTGGGTCAAAGCGATTCTCCTGCCTCAACCTCCCGAGTAGCTAGGATTATGGGCGTGCACCACCACGCCCGGCTAATTTTTGTATTTTTTGTAGAGACTGTTTAACTATGTTGGCAAGGCTGGTCTTGAAGTGCTGATCTCAAGTGACCCACCCGCCTCGGCCTCCTAAAGTGCCTGGAATACAGGCATGGGCCATCTGTTGTGCACTGCCTGGGGTGAACATTTTAATGAGCATTTATTATTTCCTGGTCACAATGCCGAGTGTCATGATAAATGAAAATGTGTTAGAACTAGAGGTAGTGGTTACACACATTAAAAATGTATTAAATTAGGCAGCCATCAAAAACGATGAGTTCGTGTCCTTTGTAGGGACATGGATGAACCTGGAAACCATCATTCTCAGCAAACTGACACAAGAACAGAAAATGAAACACCGCATGTTCTCACTCATAGGTGGGTGTTGAACAATGAGAACACATGGACACAGAGAAGGGAGCACTACACACTGGGTTCTGTTGGGGGGAATAGGGAAGGGACAGTGGGCGGGGGAGGAGTTGGAGAGAGAGGGCATGGGGAGAAATGCCAGATATAGGTGAAGGGGAGGAAGGCAGCAAATCACACTGCCACGTGTGTACCTATGCAACAGTCTTGCATGTTCTTCACATGCACCCCAAAACCTAAAATGCAATAAAAAAATAAATAAAAAGGAATAACATTTTAAAGAAAGTATTAAAGTACACTGCAAAATAAAATTCAAACACATTAAGCGGTTAGTCCCACTCCTTCCTTACTCAGTCCTTGGCAAATGGCAATCAGCTTTCAAACTGAGGGAATAAAACCTTTTGGGTCAATGGGGAACTTTCTAGAAACCCTAGTATGGGAAAAGGTCAACACGGGTACTTCAACTGTATCACAAGGCAGCGTTCAAAGTATCACTTAGCTGTTCAACCGCATTCCGATAGTGCTTGCAAGTTCAACAGAAACTAGGAAACAACCACCAGAAAGAGAAAATTAGGTGACTCATGGGCACAAGCCCTCTCTCCACACAGGACTAGGGGGCAAACACTCTGCAACTCAAAATTACTTGAGGATATAAGTCCAGGCAGCCCTGGCCAACAACAGCAACCCTCTTGGTCCCCTTCCATGATCTGGAAGCTTTTACTTCCTCTTGCTTAGTAAACTGCATTGCTGCTCTCTCTCTCGGGCCATGAACGCTTGTTTGGAGTTGGAACATACTGTGGGGGTAAGGCTCTCTGCTCGATTCTTCGAGCAAGGGAAGCCAGGAACCTGAGACTGAAGCACAAGCTGCAAATCCGGTTACAAAACTGTGGTACCTATTAGGGATATTTCATATAAATGGAATGTGTGACCTTTTGGTCTTCTTAGCATGATCTTTTGCAGGTTCACCTTGTACACCTTGTGGCATGTATCAGTACTTCATTTCTCTTTATGGCTACTATTCCACTGTACCTAGATGCCATAGTTTTACCTGTCCATCCATTGAGGGACATTTGGGTTGTTTCTATTGTGAATAGTGATGCTATGAACATTTCTATACAAGTATTTATTCCAGTCCCTATTTTCAATTATTTTGGGTGTAAACATAGTGGAACTTCTGGGTCTTAAAGTAATTCTATGTGAAAATATTTGAGGAACCCGTAAACAAATGTTTCTACAGCAGCTGAACCATTTTATATACCAAGAGCATTGTCAGAGGATTCCAATTTCTCCACATCTTCACTAACACTGTAATTTTCTATTCATTTGATAGTAGCCATCCCAAAGGGTATGTAGTGGTCTTTTATTGTGGGTTTGGTTTGCATTCTCTAATGCTAGTTATGTTGAGCATCTTTTCATGCTGTTATTGGCCATTTGTATATCTTCTTTGGAGAACTCTCTATTCAAGGTCTTTTCCCATTTTTAAATTGAGTTGTTTTTCTTTTTGTTGTTGAAGTTATGAGTAGTTATATATTCTGGATATTAGACCTTATGAGATGTATCATTAGTAGATACTTTCTCCCATTCTGTAGGTTGTCTTTTCACGTTTTTGATAATATCCTCTTGTGTCCAAACGTTTTTAATTTTGATGAAGTGTAATTTATCTATTTTGTTACCCGTGCTTTTGGTGCCGTAACCAAGAATCCATTGTGCAAGCATACTAGCTCTCGTGTCTCTTCTTATGAGTATACTTGTCCTATTGCATAAGGGCTCTGCCATTATAATCTTCTTAAACCTTAATTACTTCCTTATAGATCTTATCTCCAATACAGTGCCATTAGGGTTTGGGGCTTCACATATGAATTTTGTGGAGATATAATCCAGTCCACAGGCTTCTGTACTGCTGCAATTTATGTCCTTATTGAATACAAAATACATTCATACCACCCCAACAGTCTCAAAAGTCTTAACTCATTCCAGCATCAACTCTAAAGTCTGAAGTCCAAAGACTCTTCTAAATATCACCTAAAACAGGTAAGAGTGAGACTTGACAGATGATTCATCCTGAGGCAAAATTTCTCTCCAGCTGTGAAACTGTAAAACCAGGCAAGTTATTTGCTTCCAAAATAACAGTGGCAGAACATGACAGGTCCCAAGCAAGAAAGGCAAATTCCAGCAGATTTTAAGGCTCAAGAATAATCCATTTTGATTCAATGCCCAGTCTTCTAGACCTACTGGGATGGTGGCCTTGCCTTCTGGACCCTAGGTGGATGCTGTGCCCCTCCCCACACTCTACCAGGCATGCTCTCCCGGGCAGTGTCTCATCCCCCAAATTTTGCTCGGTAATAGCCTTGATAACATCTGAATTACTTTGAGATCATTCTCCCCATAAAGAGTAGTGTAGGTTTGCAGCTGGATAGCTCTATTGTCCTGTCCTGTAGAATCTAGGATGTAAAAGCCTTACATCATTTTTGTCTTGTCTGTATCCCCTTCAGTTGAAACAGGCAGTGTTTCTGCTCATAAAATCTCATAATTTATTTATCAAACGATAGTGTAGCCACACCTTTGGTGTTCTCTTTAGAATATACTTTCTCATTTTTTGCAATATGACAGGTAGAGAATTTTCTAAATATTTAAGTTTGATTCCTTTTTGCTTAATAATTTCTTCTTTCATTCATCTCTCTCCTCTTGCATTTTACTATAAGCGTTCAGGAAGGCCTAGGTCACACTTTCAACATTTTGCTTAAAAATCTCAGTTATACATTAAATTTTATCATTCACAAATTCTGTCTTCCAGAAAACACTAGAACACAAGTCAGCCAAGTTATTTGCCACTGTATAACAAGGATTGCCTTTCTTCTGTCTTCCAGTGACTCATTCTTCATTTCTATCTGAGACCTCACAAGAATGGCCTTTAACATCCATTTATTTACCAAAATTGTGTTCATGATTATGGTTTCTCTAAGAAGATGGAGGTTTTCTCTTCAACTGTATTTCTGAGTTCTTACCAGAATTGCCTTTAACATCCATGTTTCTAGCATGGAAATCTAGGCTTTTTCTAGCATGCATCTCAAAATTCTTTCAACTTCTACCCATTATCTAGTTCCAAACCCACTTTCATATTTTTAGGTTCTATTAAAGCAACACCCAACTTCTTGGTAGCAAAAATCTATCTTAGTTTGCTTAAGCCACTATAACAAAATACTATGAACGGAATGGCCTAAGTGACAGAAATTTATTTCTTACAGTTCTGAAGGCTGCGAAGTTCAGGATCAAGGTGCTTGCCAGTTTGGTTTCTGCTGAGGGCTCTTACTGACAAGTAGATGGCCACCTTCTTTCTGCATTCTCATAAGACAAAGGAAGGGGGAGAAGGAAAGGGAAACAGACAGAGACACACATATGTAGCGAAAGAGATCTGGTGGGTTTTTTGTTTTGTTTTGTTTTTCTGTAAAGATACTAATTATACGATCGGAACTCCACTCCTGTGATCATTTAACCGCAGTTACCTTCTTATAGGTCCCATCTCCAAATACAGTGACATTGGGGGTTTGAACTTCAATATGTGAATTTTGAGGGGACATATTCAGTCCTTAGCAAATACTATTATAAATAAAAGTGTATTTTAATTTTCCAGGTTGCTCATTGCTGATGTATAGAACACACAGTGGATTTTGGGGTATTGTCTTAGTCCATTTTCTGTTGCTGTAACAGAATACTACAGATTGGGTAATATGTAATAAACTGAAATTTATTGCCTCATGGTTCTGGAGACTGAAGAGTCCAAGATTGAAGGGCTGGCATATGATGAGAGCCTCCATGGTATGTTATCCTATGGTGGAAGGGCAAAGAGAGGGCTAGAGAGCAAGGGATCAAACTTAAAGCCTCAAGTCCTTTTACAGTTGGCATGAATCCATTCATGATGGTGGAGACCTCATGACCTAAACAACTTACATTAGGCCCTACTTCCCAGCATCGTTGCATTATGAATTAAGTTTCTAGCACATGTTTTTGGGGGGATATATTCAAACCATAGCAAGT